TACAGATACAAGAGAAAAAAAAATATTGGCAACGGGCTATTCCGTACACCACCCGCCACTAACCAACGCAGCCCTGGATCATTGAACCGACTGGTCTAGACATTCGTCGCACCCGACTCGGCCCCAGGCCAACTTGCTGCGCCGAAAGGCTACATGGGATATTTAAGTCACGTCACATACAATTAGTCCGCATATGGTATTTAATGGCGCATTGGCGATCTGGCACGGTCCATCCTGTGGCAGTGACTTGGCATAGCTGCAGGTTATATCCCTGCTAAGGCCTAGTACATTTGCTCTAATTCGGCGCTATGGGTTTTGAATAGGCGAGAATAGCGAGTTACGTTTGTGTCTGAGTAAATCCGTGGCAGTATTGCATAGGAGCGTTGGAATAAGGGTGTATTTTCCGCTGCAACTGCTCTGCTGATGTTTTGCATTGCAGATTTGCCCCTCCCCCTTAGGCTGGCCTCGGCTAAGGGGATTGGCGGAATTGCCTGGATCTAGTTCCGCTGAGGTATTATCTGGCCCTGGAGAGAGAGATACCACATTGACTTTGTGGGAGGAGCAATCTCTCTTGGATATGCTACTGGCTGGAAATTTCGCAAAAACATGTCTATTTACTATGCCAGATATAAAAACAAAATCTTTTTTGTTCACCACCCTAACCATCTGAAGGAAAGGGTTTAACTCCGAGCATAATGATATTGGGGAGCAAAAAAATCCACAAAATTCGAATGGTATATGAGCAAGACATGGCACATGAAATTCCCGAGTCAGTCGGAGCGTAGATACATTTAATTCGTCTAGACACTGATTGTCTTGAAAACACTATAAAACGAAACTGGTTAGCTTGATTTATATTCGTAATGAGAAGATTATAACATACCTGAATCCATTGCTGCCGGTAGCCATAAGCGTACCAGGCATCTGTGCCTGCCAATGAAGTTCCTTGACAGACTCCATATAGTGCACGAACAGCAGTTGCGAAGGAATATCGGCCATGTTGGCCTGGCGGCTTTCTTCGTCGTCCAGCTCGACAGCCAAATCCCAAAGTGTGACGGTGTTGTCTGCGGAGCCAACTGCCACCACACTGTCGTCTGAGGGGTGCCATTCGATGGTGGTGATTGGCTCCTTGTGGAAGTCGAATGACGCAACGGGGGTAGAGGTGATCTGAGCAGAAGGCGCCGCGGCATTGGGCTTCCAGTGACGCAAATCCCAGACTGCCCACTGTCCATCATCAGCACCGGTGGCCAAAAGGTGAGCGGTCTGGTTAGACCAGCTCATAACATTCACGTCGGTGTTGGAGACCTGGACGTCCACGGCAGGCTTGCGCGACTTGGACCGCACATCCCAAACCTTGACGCTACCGTCACTGCTAGCGGATGCAAATACATTGCGCTCATTAGGAGACCACTGCAGTTCCTCAATAGAGGAAGCGTGGCCTGTGAAAGGTCGGGTGTCGGTAACCCAACCGCCGCCTTCGGTGCGAGTAGTAGCGTAGATCAATCCGTTATTGTCACCGGTCAACAGTTTTCCAAGAGGCTGAAGGGGAGACCAGTCCAATGCGTATCCTTCGGTCTTGTGCATGCGTAGAGTGGAAAGAGGCTTGGATGCTGAAGGGGGAAGAATAGTGCCGGGAACATCGAAGCTGGAAAGGTGGGCAGTGACATCGTGAATGACGACTTGCGAGTTCTCCAACCAGGTCGCGGTAAGGGTTTGCGGAGGCTTGGAGTAATCACCGGACTGTGAGGGGGTCTGGTGGGTACGGATGCGGTTTGTCGTTGAGCCAAGCGGAATTGACTTGGACTCGAGGATGGGCTCACCCATGTCGTCGTCGTCCGAGTCGCTGTCTGAGTCCTCGCCATCCTTCTCCATCTTGCTCAAGCCGCTCATCTTAAGCACCATGAGTTCATTGTCCTTCGATTTCGATCCCTCGGCTTGTGTGCCAGTGACAGCGTAGACAGTGGCGGGGAAGGTCTTGCGATTATCACCGAGCGAATCACGCACAATATCGAAGGAAAGGCATGGCCATGGTGTGCTGAGCGTGTGAAGCATATCGTAGGTGGAAGGATCAGGCGACAGTGTCTCTCCGGGGGCCAATTTTGTTCGTCCAGGAATGAAAGTCTCCTTGTCAACATCCATAGCTTCTATACGATTTTCAAAAAAACACAAAGTTAGTTTGGTGGACGACATTTAGATATTCATATCATGGAGAATGCGCACCCTTCTCTTCTTCCTCACGCTCAGCATCTGGGCGACCATCCACTCCAGCTTCTAGAATCTCATCTTCACTTTCGAACTCATCCTCGAACTCGTCTTCGAACTCCCCCGCCTCGTCCATTGGGGCATCTGCAATTGGCCGCTCACCAGCCTTGAGGGCGGCGGTATTATCGGTTTCAGCACTTCTCTTGGACATCTTTGATATCAAGAAATGTGTTGATTATAAAAGTTGTCGAGACTGAGGGGAACACGATAAGAACTTTTTTTTTCCCGTAAATTTTGGCAACAGCGTGGGAGACGCGCTAAACCTATCGTGGACTAGCGTCAGATCCGACTTGCCAGCCCTCGAGCTGAAGGTACCTGAAGCCTTGACGTTTCTTATTTGCCTGGGCCCTGCTGTTAGGAATTACATACTTGACATTCATTTCCAGCCTGGTTCCTGCATTTGTTTGCTTTTCCTACCTCTTTTCCCGTCGTCCCCCCCGATTTGGTCTGTTTACTCAGGGACAACCCTTGCGAACGCCCGAGATCAACACAGCTCCCGGCTCCTTCAATTTTCTAAAAACAAACCCCTTGAGGCATACACATGCAATCTCGCTAGATTGCGCTGGAATTTCAGCCCTTTGTGATACTGGTTAGTCATTTCTTCAAATCCTCCATCCCACACACCCACGGATATATGCTGATGATCACGAATTGGTTGACAGGTTGCATCTCTAAATTCGACCCCAGCACCCATATTGAAGCATCATGGAGTTCCCTAAGCCTAATTTGGAGCCCTTTGCTGCCTCTGGGGCGGAGGCGCCCGCTGTTCCCATCGTTGCGGAATCCGAGCAGATTGCCCCAGAACATCAAACGCAACAGTCACAGGAGCGGGCACACGGACAGGGACATGGGATTCCACCCGAGCAAACTCTAGAGCAGCCTCTTGAACAACCTCTGAACCACCCTATGGAACAGCCTGCGCCAGTCATGGTCAATATCGAAGAGCCGGCTTCCGACCACACTATCAGTCGTGCCGCCATCAACAATGGCTATAATAGCGACTCGAAGGCGCACTATCACTCCCGATCGACCGATTTTCATCAATCTGCACCTGAATATGCCGCTCAAGATACAGACCAGTCCCGTCAGAACTCATCTCCATTGCTAAGCCACCACCCCCTACCTGTTCCCAACTCCCGACCCGGATCTGGACTCTCCAGTGGTCCAGAACGCGCCCCTGGTGTCTCTCAGTTGCAGCAACCAGACCCCAGCCAGCGCCAAGCCTCTCAGGCTAACAAGAACAGTGTGGTGATTAAAGTTGGTATGGTAGGCGATGCACAGATCGGAAAGACCAGTTTGATGGTCAAGTACGTGGAGGGCAGCTGGGATGAGGATTACATCCAGACATTGGGTTAGTTGAATTTTTGTCCACCCAGTAACTCTGTTTGTTCTAAATTAGGTCTTGTCTAGGTGTCAACTTTATGGAAAAGACAATCTCGATTCGCAACACCGAAATCACCTTCTCTATTTGGGATCTTGGTGGCCAGCGCGAGTTTGTTAACATGCTCCCGCTTGTCTGTAACGACGCCGTTGCGATTCTCTTCATGTTTGATCTCACTCGCAAGAGTACATTGAATTCAATTAAGGAGTGGTATCGCCAGGGACGTGGCTTCAATAAGACAGCCATTCCCTTCCTGGTGGGCACCAAATATGATCACTTTGTGAACTTCCCCCGTGAGGACCAGGAAGAAATCTCTATCCAGGTATTTGCTGATCCTCGTCTATTTTCCCGCAGCAACTAATGTATTTGCAGGCCAAGCGATTTGCCAAGGCGATGAAGGCTAGTCTGATATTTAGCAGCACCAGCCATAGCATCAATGTGCAAAAGGTACGTTGCCGATGTTCACATTTGTTGCTCGGTCGATTACAAGTCCGATAGAACATATGCTGACCCACAGTAGATTTTCAAGATCGTTTTAGCCAAGGCATTCGATCTAAAGTGTACCATTCCAGAGATCGAGAATATTGGCGAGCCCCTGCTCCTCTACAAGAATGTCTAAGAATTGACTGTTTGTCCTGACGATGATGTACATTGGGACGAAGTGACGCTGCTGATGATCGACGCTGGCCCTCTACCCTCACGGCTTTACCACTTTGTGAATTTCCCTTTCCTTTCTCCAACGATGTACTTGACCTTTCTTATGTCTGTATCACAGCCTCGGGCTCTTCTAAACAGGTTGCATGCTATCAGTTGGAGATCTCGAGGCTTGCTATCTTTAACTGCTACCCTTCTCCTTGTCATTTTCTTTGCTGCATCTTCTTTCATTCATCTCCGAACGTATCTAGTTCTTGTGTTTTCCAGATGAGGGCTTCACCAGCTTAAGGCGTTAGGGAGTCCGAATCATGATATTCTGGAAATACATTCAACCCTTCTGTTAGCAACCTCACATTATTGTATATGTACATAGCAGTTCTTCTGTACCTTGAAGTTCCAAATATAGATCTGGACCCATGGATACCCCGTATATCGCCCCAAGGCTGACCCCTCTTTAGTTGAGCCTCCAACTCGTCTGTTTTTTTTTCTTTCTTATATACACTGGCCTTTCCTATCTCTCCGGGGAACTCTGGCAGCTGATATCATTAATCAGTGATAATTCACAGTTGTTCTTTTTCGGGGTGTCAAGTCCGAGACTACATACTTTCGCCCCCGCCAAGCCAAGGACAAGGTACATGAAATCCAAGCTGTTGAATTTGTTTAGACACGTCTTGACTTTCCTTTCAATATCGGTTCAGGCACCATGGCTGAAGATTCTCAGCTGAATTCCATCCAGCAACGGATCGCCGCCCTCAACCACTCGCAACTGGCCCGCCCACCGGGAGGCCCTGGACCATCGTTCCGCCCGAACGCCCAACGGAGCGCGTCAGCCAACAACCCTCCCTCATACGATGCAATCGGCTCTGTGGTAGACCGAACATCTGTCGGAAATGAACCTGCAGATGAAAGAACCCAGCGGCAGGTCTTGCAACCGCCTTCAATGGAAACACTTCGGCCTGAGGTGAAACCCAAGCCAAAAGCCCCTCCGCCATTGCCCACGCGAAAATCGGATCGTCTGCCTCCCCCTACACCCGCTCGTCCTGCGCTGCCAGCCCGTAGACCGACAGATCTAAAGCACCGGCCCTCCCTTGAGTCAGTCACCTCCGATGCGTCATATTCGACAACATCGACAGTTAAAACTGCAGGGCGAGGCTCATCGACAACCTCGGTGAACTCAACTGGGAACAATCGCATCAAGGCGCCTGCATGGGGCGAGACAGAACTCCCTGCGCTACCTCCCCGCCGACCGAAGGAGCAAGCTAGCTTGGAGCCTCCTCCGCGGCCTACTGTCAGCAGTAAGAGGAGCTTTGGGAGCCTCTCTTCCAGATTGACCTCCAAAATCTCGCTACCTGGGTCCAAACCACCCGTTCCCCCTGTTCCAAGTCAACCCGCACGACCGAGTCAACCTCCTCGTCCTACTCAGCCTCCACGACCTACTTCGTCTCCGCATCCTAGCCAGCCACCCCCACGCTATGAGGCCGAAGAGGAGCCCCCGGTGCCTCGACTGCCACCGCGCCGACCATCCGCGGTACATGCAGACACAAATGGAATCAGTGATGGCTTAGGTGTCAACCTACCGATCCGGAAGACATTGCCTCCTCCGCCAACGGCTGCACAGATCAAGGATGCTAGGCAGTTTGGGTTTGGTAATACAAGTAAACCCAAATCTAGCAACATTCCCTCTAATGGGACACCACCACCGATTCCACATGGTTCTCGTCCGGATCTATTCAAAATAATGGCTACAAAACCGCGTTTCAATGGGGCAACTGTGTCTCCAAGCCCTCCACTTCCCCCGTCAGACACGGAATGTTTGGTATGTCGGGACTTCTCGGGCCCTGACTACCATGCCGCCCGATATCCTCGTGCATCGCTTCCGACACAGGATATGGCGTGGCTAGCCAATGAGCTGACAGCACCTTTCCCATCCATGACAGACAAGGCACGTGCGATATTCACATGGCTACATCATAACATCTTCTACGATACCTATTCATTCTTCAATAATTGTGTGAAACCCTCCACGCCAGCTAGTACTCTGGCATCTGGAATGGCAGTCTGCGAAGGCTACGCAGGACTTTTTGCAGCATTAGCCACCCACGCCGGCCTAGAGGCAGTGGTAGTCGGTGGCCATGGCAAAGGCTTCGGGCACTACGCTCTTGCTCCAGGGGCCCCGGTACCCCCATATGAAGGCAATCACGCCTGGAATGCCGTCAAGATTGACGGGGGCCGATGGAAGCTAATCGACTCCTGCTGGGGCGCAGGAGCAATAGAAGACGGGGGACAATCATACAAGCAGCGCTTCGAACCAGCGATGTTCTCGATCCCGAACGAGGAGTTCGGTTTAAAGCACTTCCCAGAAAACAAACGCCAGTTCTTCCGCGAGGATGGACGTCCCGATCTAACCTGGGAAGAGTACATCCTCACGGACCCGGAACGACCAAATGGCGTCGAGGGTCTCAAGGTCTACAGTGATGCCGACACGCGCAGCATCGGCCGCAATACCTTCCACCCACAAAACCTGCACATCTCTATCAGCACCCCAGGCGCAATGCGTTTCCAGTTTGGTCTCCTCTGTCCGCATTGGACACTCTCCCGCCACAGCCACATCCAGCATGCAGGATTGTTCCTGCTTATGATTCATGGTGTGGACGGACGCGAGGACGACAGACTCCCTTTCACGCACGTATCAGGCTCCGGACCCGCGGGCGGTGGCGAGTTCTGGTATGTGGATGTCCCCAGTGCACGTATGCTTGGTGCGCCTGGTCAGAAGCTGCAGATTGCTGTATTGACTAAATTTGGGGACCGGGAGGATGCTAGTGGTGTTACAGCGCAAGAGTTTCAGGAGAAGGTCGGCAGGATTGGAATGGCTTGGGCCTATGTTGCTGAGTGGGAGCTGGTTAGGTAGGTTCCCACTGGGTCGGCTTGCTGCTTATCTGCGGCAGATGGTATAATATTAATGTAGTGTTTGTTCCGTTAATGGGTTGATCTTGTTCACATAGTGTGCATATACTTCTAGGTACACCATGTTAGTCATTGATACCCCTTATGGATAGGTAGTTGACCTAGGCCACTCTACTCGTTAGCAGCACAAGCATGGTGTTCGATATTTCTACGTACATCTACCGGACGATATAGCTGTAGCAATAAGAAGCACCATTGGCTACACAACGGAAGAAAGGTAACTAAGAGAAGAATTCAGGGCCGATGCTCATAATCGAAGTACTATCATCGTAGCCCTTCACAGAGATCTCTTTTTAGAATGAGGATTTTCTACCATACTACCACATGCAACAAACCCGCAAACATATTGTAGCTCTGTATCCAATGTTACGACCATGAAGAAGGACAAGACACGGAGATGATTATTTGTCGTGAGAGTGATGGCACAAACAGCAAACATAGACTGATCAATTGTATAAATGGGCCAGAGATCTTTCTGCATATTCTAACTTCCTCAGCACCCACAAACCATCAGCTCTCTAATCAACAATGCCTTCCTTAATGGATCTCCCTCAGGAGATCCGTGCCCTGATCTTTGAAGAGGCACTCAATGCCCATCGAACCCCACGTGTCCGTCCATCCACAGTGAACATGGTGTTTCTTCTGGACATGAGATACAGGGCGTATCTAAGATACCTCGTGCCATATCACGAAAGACGTGATTCTCATAGCCCATCAAACGATCTCCCCCTCCTTTTGACGAGTCGTCAAGTATTCGAAGAAACAAAATCAGTCCTCTATCGAATGCAGCGAACAACATACGTCCTTGATATTTCAGTCTTAGATGATCAGTATTTGTTTTCATCTTGGATCTCAGTGCCAACGCTCACAACTCGTGTATCTACACTTCACGTAGATATACGTCTTTTCGGACGTATACTCACCGCCGAGGAGGGGGGAAGGCAATTGGGCTCTGGTGGTCGCTGGGGGTTTCATTGGTGCTTTTACGCCCTGCTGGAACGGTTCTTGCAGTATGGACCAGTGGGCGAGAAGAAACCCTGTTTAGACGACAAAGGACGCCTCTACTACGAGGCCCGTCAAATTTCTGTTGAGAATCTCATCCTTGACTTTCAGTCGGCCGAGACGGAGCTACCATTCCCTCCCGATGACGTGGAATTCAAGGCATGGCACGCAAAACACCAGGGCTATACTGTCGATGGGCAAATAGAACATTCCTTGGAGTACAAAACACGTCCAGAGTGGCTTTTGCTCGACTTAACGGGATGGTTGGAACTAATCATTAAAATCAGCACTGGGACTAAGAAATGGGGGAAACTCATCTATGAGAGAATTGGGACCATCTTTATGCTGGTGGATGGGAAACTACATACTACGATTGATCTTGCGGGTGAATTGGCCAAGTACAAGTGTGATAAGCCTCCCCATTTCATGGCGAATGTGGAACCATCTACCCGACGCGCTCGTGAATGGGAGTGGAAGATAGCGACGCTTCTGAGAAGGGAGGAACTTGGCTTCCCTGTTGTTTGGCTAGAGGATGAAGAAATGTAGTCATAACAATGTTGCTTTGCAGTAGATGAGAGGAACTTTATGTCTGTTGACATTCATTGGAGATACTTGAATGTTGCACACTTGCTGCTCATCCTGTGGTAATAGACATCAAAAGATAGTTCTGTTTGCATCAGAACAATATCATAACAACACAGGAGCGCATTGAGAAAAGATATTGGACGGTGCTGCCTCACCTGTGCTGCAAGTTTGTAGTCCATGAAAGCATCAACATCCAATCTGAGAACTTCATGGATTCACCTGGCTCTTACCTTGATCAGTTGTTAGTTTCCCTCCGTCTCCTCAATCAACATAACTGCCTCTATATACATATTTTGAAATGGAGAAATCATCCCCTTCCCTCTCCTCGGAGGATGATATCCCCCAATGTGTGCCAACATCCTGTACATGGTCAAGTCATCTTACACTTTCCGGTCATTCATAACGCCATGATATGTGGACATGCTCCAGTTGTCACTCGATAATCCGTCAGCCATGTGGGAGAAAGCAGTGAGTACGCCAAAGGGAAAAGTTGTTGGTTTCTTAATTCAATGGAGAAAGTGATATCTCGATAAAGGTACCATATTTTCTCCTTTCTATATGCAGATGAGAATTACTCCGTATATGTTACTTAGATAAAACTTCGAGCTGATCTTGGCAATTGCTCTCAGTAATTCAGAGTGCGGGCTACCGAAGACAAAGCAGATCATTTGGTAAGTACTACACAAATCTGCCCCAGAGAGGAGAGAAGAGAACCTTTTTCAATTAGATCACTGACCTTTCTGTATCGCTACATGTGTATAATACACATATCTACCTTATAAAGTAGATACCTAGGTAGTCAAGCACCAGTTTACGGACGAATACTGGGTCGCTGTTTGGTTGAGACAAGGGTTTGTAAATCGCGGAAGACGCCCTAGTTCCTGCTCGGAACGCTTCAGTCTTCCCTCCGCGAGCTTGAAAGAGGATCAAGTCAGTTGATTCGAGATTTTTCGGTGATCTTTGCTGCTTAGTGGGCATGGTTCACTTGAGCTGTCTTCATCTCTTGACTGTCTTGACAAAACGATGCCTCGTACTAATGACCACGAGCGCAACAAATATGTAAATATGTTTATCCTAAATACTTCCACTATGCTATGAAGGTCTAAAGTGCATTCATCAAATAAGATTACACAATTTATTTTATGATATATAAATTGTACGGAGTACGGGGGTCATGCAATCTCGATTTGTGGAGGTATCTTCCTGCAACACCCTCTAGATACATTAAGACATGCGACGGATCTAGCCAACTAGGAACGAAATTTCGATCTGTGGACTGTCTTAATCGAAGATATATTACTCCGTACGGATACACACTCTGGACTTCATATGTCCCCGGTGTGTTTCAATGAGGCTTAAATAGGAGGTACCCCGTATTTACGTGTACCAATCATAGTCAGTCCCATATCGATCCATATATCGGCAATTTGCCAACAGGGCTGAAAAAGGAGAATGCCATTCCGATTGACTTGAAAAGATAATAACTTCAAGACACATTTGCTCTGTACAGAAATTGAACTCCTCCGTCTCATGAATATGAACTTTGTCCAAAAAGTGACTGGTCTAACCCACTTTGAGCCAGAACCTAGCCCCTATAAAATACCAACCGAGTAGAGCAGCGCGCTCTCGGACAACAAGAACGAGGAACGCCTCACACGAACGCCTCCAACATAGCAAATCTTGGCTTTCCCTTTCTGTTCTAGTGCTCACCTCACCCCCTGAAATTAGCCAGAAACAACATGCATGCTATTTGCTTTCGTCCCTGTACAGTCAAGCATACGTGTCTATTTGTACATGTACTCCCAGACTACTCCATACTAGATGTAGAAAAAAAAAATTGAAATTATTTGTGGACATGATAATCTCCCATAATGGTGCCAAGACCTAGTGTTGGTGGGTCCCGGACAGCAAGTCCTGAAACGGCTACAGGCAATGCATGCCAAGGACTTGGAATGATTTAGAAGGATATGAAACTTGACAGCAGGAGGCGATGAAATGGGAGTGCCTGTATGCATGTTAGTATGATAATACTCCGTAGTCGTTGTGGTTATCTATAAATGCATCCGTGTTGAAGAATTTGCTATTAGAGCTATTCAGAGTTAACCTTCACACGTGGATTACCCCAGTGGGCAACTTGCGGCGAGTTTGTTGGTTTGCAGTGTTTGTTCTGTTTGTTTCTGAGTCGGCCTATCTGATTGATCTGGTTCGGGGAATTGCTCACCGCCCCCAAGATAAGAGCACAGATCACTTACCCTTCAGGGGAATCCCGCACGTGTGGTGTCAGACGCATCGGAGATAGTAAGATTATGCCCCGCTTATTAGACCCCCTGGATTTTAGATTTTCCACTATTTTATATTTCTCTCCTCAGCCTCCCCCAACTTTGTCTTTCTTTCAGGGGATGTTGCTGCCATGAAGTCTTCAATGAATCAAGATGTCTCCTTTCGGAGGAGACTCGAGGATTCAGCCCTATTCGTCCTGAACGTCGCCAGAACCCCTCAACTCTATCTCGACCTTTACCTTGACCGTGTCCGCTCATATTTCTTCTCCGTTATTTTCGTTTCCCTCATCCTATACAAATGCTTCCATATCAGTGTGCATCTCACGGCCTTAGAGGTTCCATCCCTCTTCCCCTGGGGCCCCACGTTCTTTTTGGTGGATATCCTACTTATTCTGCTCGCGTGTTGCCTAACCCGTTCATTTGAATCGCGGATTCTCCGGAATGTAGCCGCCGTTGTGACTCTTTTCTCCAGGTGAGCTATCATTTGGGCTTGTAAAGAAACAGCAGATCGCTAATCACACTTCAGTCTAATTCTCTCGACAATGACCTCCGCCAACATCTCCTATTACGTCCATACAGGCGCCGAGATTCCCTGGGGGAACTCGGAGACCTCTAGTCAAGAAAATCCCACTGCTGCCCAGACGATTTTGTCCGGGTTCATTGTCGCTTTCCTTGTCGAGATATTGATCACGATCGGTGCATACTTCGCTACGCCGTATCTATTCGAGGCTACCGAATCTTTCCTGGAAATTTGGGTCTCGTTTTTGTTCGCTCCTCTCCGCCGATACCTTCGACGCAGAAAAACCCCGTTGGACCCAGAGACCTATCAGCAGATTGAAATCGAAGACTACGACGAGAATCACAATGACAGCGACTCCGTGTCGCAACTCGACACACCCCAAGTTGCACCCGAGGAGAAGAAGAAGCGATCTTTGCTGAAGCGCGGTATTGTCATAGTGTGCGGCTTGATCATCGTTCTGCTCAGTTTCGTTCGTCCACACAATGCGGATTTCAGTTATCTCTCTGGATCCCTGCCTCTTGCCCCGTTCAGCAACCTCGAATATTCACCCGCTCATGAACGTCCCACGTCCACCAGTGGAAGTGCCGCTCCTGAAACTGCTCCTCAAACCCCCCCTCCAGCACCCCCTCCAGCCCCACCTCAAACTCCTCCTCAAAGTGCCCCACCACCTGTCTCATCAGGTGCCACCTCGTTACCGGCCGATTTCAGCTGGCTGGAAGATCGTACCGCGCTGGACTCCTTTCCCACATTCGACTGGCTGCCTGCGTACAATTCGTCAGATGGCCTTCCGGATTGGTCTCCATTCCGTGTCAATATGCACAAGAAGGATGACTATGTGTACGAACACTACAATCCACTGAAAGATCCCCTGCACTTCCCAAATCTCCAGAATGATATCTTGGAGCCTATGCGTGAAGTTCTCCACAACGGAAGTGTGAAGATTAAGCATGTCATTCTCGTCAAGTTAGAGAGCACCCGGCAGGACGTATGGCCGTTCCGCAATAGCTCCTACATTATGAAACACATCCGTGACTCCTACCCGAAGGGCATCCCCAGCGATGTCCAGGAAAGGCTTTCGAAGCTCACCCCTACCGCCGAACGTTTAACCGGATTTGAGACCGGATTCGGCGAGGATAAGCCGAAGTCCTATGGTGGTTTCAGCGCGAGAAACGCTTACACGTCTGGAACCTACACCCTGAAGAGTCTCACGGCCACTATATGCGGTGTGAACCCTATGGCTGTCGAGGCCAACCTCGAGTACCTGCACGATATCTACCAGCCCTGCTTGCCACACATCCTCGACGCATTAAACGCGCAGCCAAAAACTACCAGTGAGACAAGTACCAGTCAGACAGATGACTGGTCTTCCTGGCCGTGGTACTCTGCTTGGATGCAGACACACTCCGATGCCTGGGACAATCACTTTTTACTTTCCCCTCATTTGGGATACCAGAATGTTATGGCAAAGAGAACAATCGATGCAGACGGTGGTAAATATGTTCCAAAAGAATCCAAAGAGGAGGAGGATCATGGCCATGAGGATAAGATCATGAAATACTATCTCCGGGATGTCATCGACGATGCGAAGAAGAACAACACTCGTCTCTTCATCAGCACCCTAACACATCAAACACATACTCCTTATTATAAGCCTGGTGATTATAAGGAGATGCTAGGGGATCTGTCGAATGAACGGAATGAGAAGCTGAATCGATACCTAAATACCGTTCACTATCAGGATGAGTGGATTGCTGAGCTCTTGGAGCTTCTCGAAGATACAGGCATTGCCGATGAAACGCTTCTTGTGATGACTGGTGACCAGTAAGTTCTACCTATACCATACAACCCTTCTATCCTCTGACCTCATCCTAGCGCTCTATCACTTCCAAATGACGGTGGCATTACGGCCTGGCATTCCCCTCACGTTGGCAATTTCCACGTGCCGCTATACTTCTCTCACCCCAAACTACCTCAGATCGATCTCGAAAATGCTGGTATCCTTTCTACGCAAATTCTTCCCACGATCCTCGATCTTCTCATCGAGACCAACTCCATGGACGAACAAGGAGCCAAGATCCTCCGCGATCTACTTCCCATGTACGAGGGCCAGTCCATGATCCGCAAACTCATCCCTGAGAAGGACGGCAAGAAAGAATGGCAATTCTCCACCATGAACCCGGGAGGAACCTGGTTCACCGTGCGCTCCGCCGCACAGCCATACCGATTAGTCGTGCCTCTCAAGCCCGACGGCAGGTGGCGATTCACCGATGTCGCCGTCGATCCATTCGAGCTTAATCCCGTGGAAAACCACCAACTCATGTTCCTGAGCGATGTCGTGCTGAAGAATAATGGCCCCGAAGCTGTGGCCTGGCTCACCGAAGCGGCCCACGCCGCCCACTGGTGGCTTAAGGATAACCATCGCCGCTGGAAATATGATCCTAAGAACCCGAAAAACGACCCTTGAAGCCGTTTCGGGAAGTGGGTCTCAGTGGTTATTTGATAGCAGTGTCATACGTCCACGGGTATCAACCCATTTCTTAACTGTATTTATGCATTACCCATTCCCTAATTGTATTCATGCATTTCAATGTATATATGAACCTATTGTCACTTTCAAATTCATTTGCTCTCCTATGATCTCTCCCACTAGCGTACCTAGTATTGTGCAGCCGTCTATGAATTTCAGCCAGTTGACTTCGACTTCGGGGCATTTTAAACGCAGTAATAATTGCATCTCCAAGAAATTTTGAATATAATGGAGCAGTCACGAACCTCAATTCTTTCACAGCTCATTACAACCAAGGGGTTCTAGATAACGTTTATCAAAAAGAAGTTCAAAAGGAGGTAGGAAGCAACGAACCAAATTGTAAAAAAGCAAAAAACATACAACAGTGAGGATTCGCTGGTGGTCACCCACCCAACTACTAACTCACCGGCGTGTGGCTTAAGTACGGCTGAGCGGACGGGAAGCCCTGTTTTCCACACCCTATGGTCGTATGTGCTAGAATATGTGAGGGAAAATATCATAAAGTAAGTGACGGTGACAGCAGAGACCACAACAGACGGCGCACTATTTGAAGAACCTCGTACTGATGTGGAGCTGTGTATTCCCACCAGCAGTTGACTTCAAGTGTGAGGTTATAAGAGTATTTTGACCTCGAGGCCATCTCTTCCAGTTTTTGTTTGTAGGGTTTCATGCGCTTGAGATAGTTGGTGATGTAATTTTTCTCAAATATACGCTTGCGAGCTGTTATCAGTTTCTGATCCTGAACACTCATATACCTAGATAGAGGTGCAAGCTTACCTCAGCCGGATTCAGTTGAAAAATTTGGATGCAAACCTTTGAGAGCTGTGCTTATATAGTGAGTAGGCCGATAATCACTACTCGGTTGAGAGGGGCGAACCTTGAGGATTTTCGCGAGACCGTCCGGGCTAAGCCAGTGGTAGAGAACGCTCCAGTTGCCACTGGAGTATAGGATAAGCCCCTCTAGATCCAAAATAGACTGCTGAAAAGACCACTAAAAAGACCACTAAAAAGCCCTGTAAGAAAGACATCATAAGGCCGCAGAAGCGGCTGTCTACGCTTATATCAATTTCACTTCAGAAGTTAAACATAGAAAAGTCTCTCGCACATATCATGTTCTTTTCCCACCTTCTTCTGCTATCTATCCATACGACTGGAAAGGGGGAACACTATCTTAAGGATACCTAAGGATACCTAGGAAGCCCACTGAGAGCCCTATTGAGAAGACAGCTGAAAAGACCACTTCACGGCCCTTTAAGAGACACCGTTAGACCGCATAAGTGGCCGTTTACTCTTGTGTTTCATCCACACAAAGACTCTCAAGATTACATCATCCTAGAGCTCACTGTACAAATACTACGTTACCGGTCAGCTCGCATACTGAGCCCGCACTAAGTTCCACTATACCCAGGAATGACTGAGTGCCCTCGTAAAGCGGGCCAGACAGCAAACGCCCCAGACATTATCTTGTCCGTGTAGGTGCATATGCAAAGCCATTCTTGGAAACATTGATGGATTTGAAAGGGATTACATATCATGGTCCGTGTAAAATTAGCGGGGGGGGAAAGAAGCTGCACCACCGATGTCAGTGGCTCAAGAATCTGTCCAAGGGCAAAAGCTAAAACAGATGAAAGATCAGCGCTAGGCATCAGGTTACTCCGTACTCCGTGTTCCGTACAGAGAACAAAAAGTACGGGGAAATTGTCTCGGTGAGCGCAAATGGTATTTCCCCATCCTCCGCATCTTTTCCACGCGGGGGAATGTCACCTCTGAGAGAACTCAGTCTAGACGATCGACTTCAACATACAACGTGGGAAATATTGATCCACCCCAATAGCCAGTGACAAGAGGGCTGTCCAAAGCCCTGAAACAACAATTTAACTTACGTAGCACGCGAAAGACTACTGCCTATAAAAAACTAGAAAAATTAAATAAAATTAGAGGTAAAAAGTATGTATTCGGCCAACGATTCTAGAAAAGGAAAAAAAACACCGCGGGAGCCGAGTTCAAGCCGAGTCCACTTCGGCGTCAGCCACTGAACTTGACGAGAAGCCGTGTACCGTCCCGTTCTGGGAATATGACCGTAGTCGGGGCCCCGGACTATTATGTACTCAGGCCACCGGTTGAAAAGAGATTCTTTTTCATTCGTCTCGAGGTAGAAGATGTGGACACTCCGGTTAATTGAATCGATACAGTAAAAATTACTCCCTGGTAACGGTGGGAGGTTCTACCCAGACCTTGAAATGATTACCCAGGTACCTTTTTTGTGGGTTGGTCTGGGGATATCCGAAAAACATATGCACGTCGACCCTTTTTTATTTTCAAAGGGATTTACAAGAACCACCTTTTCTCCCGAGCGTGTTCATCTCTAAATGTTGAATGATTGATATTCCTGCCCAGAAACGCCACTGCCGTCTACGGTGCCGATTGCAGACGTCAGCCGACTCCTTTCTTAACCCGAAGACGGATGCCGTGTTCGGGAAATTCCTAATTACCGCGCTTGGCCTCGTTCGGCTTAGATGTTGTCGCCGATTCCCCGGATCCCAGTTCATTGCCGATGGGTGCACCAATCACAAAAATGGTAGTGGATAAGCATAATTGGGTTTCCACCAATCAGCCCTCGTAGACGGAGCTGGGGTTGCAAACAGAGTCTTGGCATGGTCCCGTTGTAACTCTACAGTAATACCTAGGTATATCTTTCTCTGGAGTCTTGTATACAGATGGTCACATATTTTACACTAATTTCTCTCCCCAGAATCCCATACACGGGCGAGGGAGTGGGGATGGAAGAAAAAATAAACAATATATGCGGGTGGATTTTATTAGTGGTTTATACAGAGCAGAATTTTCCCGGCATGCGATCTATTTAAGCAGGATTTTTCCTTTCTCTTTGGATTGTAGCTACTTCTGTTTTTGTCCTCCTTTCCCCCTGGCTTGGGTTTAACAGTCACCATGTATGTCGTAGGGAATCTCTACGCCATCACGGCGGTGTCCGTCATTGGCGGTGCACTGTTCGGTTTCGATATCTCGTCCATGTCCGCTATCATCACCACGCCGGCCTATAGATGTTATTTCAACCATGGACCTAGGGGACCTCCATTCAACGACGACGACGTATGTAGTGGTCTCGACTCCCTGGCTCAGGGTGGTGTGACTGCTGCCATGCCTGGTGGTTCTTGGCTCGGTGCTCTGATCTCTGGTTTCATTTCGGATCGTCTTGGTCGCAAGTATGCCATTATGGTTGGCTGTGTCATTTGGTAAGTTGGATGGTTGCAGGTTATATGGGAGTCGATGCTGGATCAGACCGCGGCTAACATTCAGTTAGGGTCATCGGCTCCGTTATTGTGTGCGCTTCCCAAAATATGGGTATGCTCATTGCCGGGCGTGTCATCAACGGTCTCAGTGTCGGAATTGAGTCTGCTCAGGTCCCCGTTTATATTTCGGAGATTGCGCCTCCCTCCAAGCGTGGTCGTCTCGTCGGCTCCCAGCAGTGGGCCATCACCTGGGGCATCTTGATCATGTACTAGTATGTGGCACACGCCTTGACATACAAGGGATTTAGTAACTGACTTTTTTCTTTTCTCTTTCACAGCATCTCCTTCGGCTGCTCATACATCGGACATGGTAACGATTCCACCTCCCACAACTACAGCGAGGCTGTCTTCCGGATCCCCTGGGGTGTGCAGGCTGTTCCCGCCATTTTACTCTTCCTTGGGATGATGATTCTCCCCGAGTCCCCTCGTTGGTTGGCCCGCAATGACCGCTGGGAAGAGTGCCAGTCGGTGCTGGCCCTCGTTCATGGCAAGGGCGATATCAACAGCCCCTTCGTGGTAGCCGAAATGCAAGAGATTCGCGACATTTGCGAGTTTGAACGCGAGAACAAGGACGTCACCTACCTCGAGCTATTCAAGCCTCGGATGATTCATCGTACCCTGACCGGAGTCTGGACCCAAATCTGGTCCCAGCTGACCGGTATGAACGTTATGATGTACTACATCAACTACGTCTTCACGATGGCTGGATATAAGGGTGATGCTACTCTCCTCGCTTCCTCCATCCAGTACATCATCAACGTGGTCATGACCGTGCCTGCCCTGGTCTGGGTTGATAGATGGGGCCGTCGTCCTACTCTCCTGATTGGTGCCGTCCTCATGATGACCTGGATGTTTGCCAACGCCGGTATCATGGCCAAGTATGGTGTGGTTGTGCCTGGTGGTATCGATGGTGTGGCCGAGGCTTCCATGCTTCTGGGTGGTGCCCCTGCCAAGGGACTGATTGCCTGCACATACCTGTTCGTGGCATCATACGCCCCGACTTGGGGACCCGTGTCGTGGGTGTACCCTCCTGAATTGTACCCTCTGCGCGTGCGTGGTAAGGCCGTTGCTTTGGCAACCTCGTTCAACTGGGCGTTCAACACCGCGCTTGGTCTGTTCGTCCCCACTGCCTTTGCCACAATCCGCTGGCAAACATATATCATCTTCGGTGTCTTCTTGGTTGTCATGACCATTCACGTCTTCTTCTTCTTCCCTGAGACTGCCGGTAAGACTTTGGAGGAAACCGAACAGATCTTTGAGGATCCCAACGGTATCCCTTACATCGGTACCCCGGCCTGGAAGACTACCCACGATACCAGGCGCACTGTCGCAGCCGAGTCTGGCGACGTTGAGGTCCTTGGTGAGAAGCTGGCCGGTGCTGAGAAGCGCGCTGCTGCCCACACTGAGGTTGTCGACACCAAGTGTTAAGTATGTATAGGATGGTTTTGATCGCTCCGTCATCATGTTTGTTTCTTTCTTTTTTCTTCTTTTGGGTTCAACAAGATCCATGTCGATATGATGTCATGTAACACAATTCAACAAATCCCCTATATCCACGACTTCAGTCTCAACATTTTCTCTCCCATCAATTTGCTCGTATTCGGATTAGGACGAACGTGTCTGAAATGCCAAATAGTTATCTCGTCTTCGGGAGTCTCGCAAGTATTGGCAATTTGATCGGCAGTTGGAGTTGTATTCAAAACCCACCCAGGATGTATATATATATCTAGTGAAAGGCTAGTTGTTCAATCCAAATTTGTTCAAAGAAAAAGAATTGCCAAGAGTTTCCGATCGGAGCTGCGAAGCTGTCTGGTCAACTTGGGAGTGGTGGAGTTAACCCCTGGAAAAAAGAAAAAAAAAAGAGATGATCACATTTCACAATTCTTTCCGATCTTTCCGATCTTTCTGGTTATGATCAAATTTCTTTTTCTTTCATCCATCTATATCAAGCATACGTGAGCAATTTGAGAGGGCTCGACTTTGCTACATCATGGTTCGCCCGCGGGGAAGCTCAGCCTTGGGCGTGGATATTCGAGGTGACACCAGCGCACCGGCAATGTCCACGATGAATGAAGTGAGTCCTGTCGAGCCATCGGATCTAAAGGTACGTATTCAAGATCGCATTCACCCTATCACCTTATCATCCTATTAACATGCGACACTAGCAATTCGAAGGCGCACAGAAACAGGCCAAGGCCCAGCCCAAACGGCGTCGCAGCCGCTCCCTCCTCCACCGTTTTGCGGATACGTGTCTACGATACACCTGGCTCTTACCACTTCTCATAACACTGTTCCTGGTCGCGCTTTACGCCGTTAACCCTACAACCTCGAATCCAATGCACAGCGCCATCTTCTTGTCCTACCCGCAACCCCCGAAGACTCCCGGCGGACCCATCATGTACGGCAAGGGCAAGAAGGACATTGCATTTGTGGCCTTCTACACGGTTGTTTTGTCATTCACGCGCGAGTTCATCATGCAGCAGATGATCCGGCCATTTGCTGTTTGGTCCGGTATCCGCGGGAAGGGGAAGACAGCGCGATTCATGGAGCAGATGTATACGGCGATCTACTTCGGTGTATTTGGGCCATTTGGTCTGTACGTGATGAAGCGATCGAGTATCTGGTACTTCAACACGACTGCGATGTTCGAGGGCTTCCCGCACCGCGAGCACGAGGGTCTGTTCAAGGCGTATTACCTGCTCGAGGCGAGTTACTGGGCCCAGCAGGCGATTGTCTTGATGCTGCAGTTGGAGAAGCCTCGTAAAGACTTCAAGGAGCTTGTTGGTCACCATATTATCACGCTTGCGCTTATTGCGCTCAGCTACCGCTTCCACTTCACGTACATGGGCCTGGCGGTGTATATCACGCATGACATCTCCGATTTCTTTTTGGCTACCTCGAAGACGCTCAATTACCTGGATGCCTACATCACCGCGCCGTACTTTGCCATGTTTGTTGGGTGGTGGATTTACCTGCGTCATGTGCTGAACTTGAAGATCCTCTGGGCTGTTCTGACTGAGTTCCGCACTGTTGGTCCATTCGAGCTGAACTGGGAGACTCAGCAGTACAAGTGCTGGATCAGTCAATACATCACCTTTGCGCTGCTCGCCAGTTTGCAGGCTGTCAACCTGTTCTGGCTGTTCCTGATCTTGCGTATCTTGGCCAACTACATTTTCACCAATGTCAAGAAGGACGAGCGCAGCGAGGACGAAGACGAAGAGGAAGAGCTTGAGTCTGTTGACGCGACTAAGGCAATTGCCACCGGCGCAGACCAGACCGGCAAGGAGAACCACGCTCCGCAGGTTCTGATTAATGGTGAGCCTGTCGCCGAGCAGCGTGGTCCTCGTACTCGCAGCAGAAAGGCATGAGTTGCTTGAATTCTCTTGTTCGAGTTCGATTAATCACCTGGGCATCAAATACCGGGACTTTCACCGTGATATAGTTATACTTTTGGATCGGGTGGGCTTCCAGGTGATCCTCTGGATGTGTTGATATGCTGTTAATATATGTGTTGAAGCTGGGTCTGAGTTCGGCGCAATCGATTGTGCCCGTTAGATAGCCCCTTAGAAGAGCGGGCGCCGGCGCTTGTTTTTGACGAGCATATGAATTAAGCAATTATTATTGGGCAGTCTCTTAATGTTCTATGTGATTCATTTCTCTTTCTTACATACTTCTACTTTTGATGTTATTTTCATTCATGTATCTCATTTTACCAATCAAGTTCTCCACCCTCAAGGAAGCGTCTCGACGACATAATATCAGATAGAGTGAGGGATGATTCCTATAGAAAACAGATGTTGTTACAGATACCAGCCTCTGTCTTCATGCCAAAAAGAAGCGAGACACTTTTTCTGCCTAGTCTCTATCATGTATCACTTACTTTTGAACACCAAGTGTTTCAATGACATATCTCACTGAATCTACGCGTCGGGTTACTTTGAATATGGTTAAACAAAGTATGGCAACTGGTGTAGTAAGTTTGGACATAGCGAACTAGTAAGTCATAACAACATCGCACTATCCTCTTCGCGGCAAGAAATGGGTATGTTGCGACGAGTCTCTGAAATTGATCAAGGCTCAAACCTCTCTGAGTCGAATACAGGATGGCTCAAATGATGGACAAACGAGTACGGCCACGCATTATTGGAAGCCAACTGATTGGGAAGTTCTGATCCCGTCAACTCTAGACTGGACAATTCAGTCTTGGCCAATGAGGATAGAAGCCCATAACGCGCAAATACTTCCCAGCGATGGTCTGGGATATATCTGCCTGTCTAGACATAACCATATGTTTTTTGAGCCAGCAGGTATCTTTTCATGTGGAGTAGGTCGTGGTTGTTTGTGGCACTCTCAGTATGTAAGCATAGTATACTCCCAGCTGTTCCCGCATGAGCTCAAATATTTCAGATGGGAGGTCTTTCCAAAGCCAGTGTCTGTATGAACAGGTATGGCACTCGCGGGGGCCCTCGATACCGAATGAGGCCGAGTGGTCATGGAAGGAGGTCGGAAGATTGTGATACCGGGGATGCGTCATCACTTGATGACGTGAGTGGATTGGGCGTGTTAGAAACAGAGGCGAAGTCAAAGTTGCCGTTTTGTCTGCTTCGTCTTTTTGGCCTTTTTGTTGGTCAAGTTTCACGACAAGCCAGCAGCATTGGAGACTGTGCTGGAGAGGGGTTGTTGGATTACAGCATGACTCTTTTAAACCTGATTATATCAGGAGATAGTACGAGAGTCTCACTTTTTCATAAGCCATGACACTCAAGCATGGGGGGAGAAATTTGAATTATCTCTCCTGGCTGGCATTCGTATGACAACATCATGCCTGGGGTCGCAGATTTCACTGCGGCTCGAGTATTATGAGTAATCAAGTTTATCCAAGATAGAGAGGGGGCCTTTACTGCTTGTTCCTTATGGGATCCATCAGATGGGAAGCAATACTGAGGAAATGATCCCAAGAATAGAAATGACCAAGGCGATGGTAGTCAACCAGGACTGATCAAGGTCTGAGGTAGGTGGATGAAGAAGAAAGAGAAAGGAGAAGAAAAAGAAAAAGAAGAAAAGGTGGAAAGCCACTCCCATGTCTCTTGCCTCAGGTGCACATCCCTTCCTGAGATCTCGTGAATCTTTTGTTTTGACGTATACTGATCCTAACAAATTCTCACCTGCAAAGATGCATCATTTTCATTATTCTTTGTGAATGTCCAAATAGGCCTACCTAGGTACCTAGCCTTGTTTCTATAGTGAGCCTAGCCTGGCGCTCAACAAATTCTACCTACACCAACTTGATTGTTCTTGTATTTTTCATGTTTTAGAAGGGGCTCAGAAGTGGCCTGACTATTGCCGCTAACAAGCTGATTGTTTCCGGCTGTCTTTTCCCAACAAATATCACATCAAGAATTCAATATTTCACCGCTATGTATATCAACGTTTCTCCATCTTTAGGCTTATATTTTGGAAAAATTATGCCGAGAACTGATGTCGATGCCTAGGATTCAGAAATTGAAGCTATTCGCGTAATAGGCATCGATACCATATGTGCCCTATCAATGTTCGATTGGTTTATATATGAATGGCCGCCGCAATATTCTATACTTCATTGTATGGCTCTGTATTTTTGGGGAACTTTGTATCTATGCCAGAGGATTGACGCTATTCACTTATAAGGCATCGACGTCATATTTTCAATATACGAATGGCCGCTAGGATCCTCTGTAATTCGTTATATGGATTTATATTGCTGATTGATTTTGTAGTTATGTTGGAGAAGTTATTTAATGCCAACCATTGCTCGCTGGTCTTCATATTTGCCTTTTAACCGTTCTACACAGTCACGATCAACCATCTCTTGTACTGCACATGCCATTCAAGGCGTCATTGATCTTCTTCTTTATGGTGCACACAGTTAAGTAGTCACCATGCCGCTCAATTCACCTTTCGGCTCACTGGAAGGCGCCCCAGCCCTTACACTTTTTGCCATCACGCAAACAGAGAATTTGGCAGAAGCAATCGAGGAATACGAATTGCGCAATATTCCAGTACCGGAGCGCCTCAGTGCAGGCATAGTTTCATTGTCCTCCCAACTCCAGAATTTTCAACCGGATGACGACATTCCACTTTTCCGCTCTCCTGAGATGGACGAACAAGATATAGTCTACAATAACCTCGAAGTTGCCTGGTACCTCGCAGCGAGCCTTTATTTCCGCAATCGAATCGACAAAACCTTCATCGACGACGTTTCCTTTGCTGTCAATGGGATCTTGATGTGCTTGCTCCGCGTCGAAGAAATCAAGGCACAAATAGAACCTGATTTGATGTACCGAGATGACCCGGTTACCTTTCCGGCTTTTGTGGGATCCTTGAATGCCATTGACCGCGAGCCTTGGGTGTGCTGGTGGGAAGCAATACAGGAATATGGCTCTCCGAAAGTTAAGGCACAGTGGAAGATTACTAAACTGATTTGGAGGATTATGGATCAGATGCAGGAGATGTTGGAAATTGGTTTGAGCTGGGTGGACATCATGCTAATGTGCGAGGTACGCTCTTTGTCAGATGTGTTTGAAGCGCTTGGGTTTTAGTAAATGTGCACATAGAATTTCGAACATTCTTCATCGATTTGACTGTTCTTCCTCAACTGAGAGGATTTTTCTGCTCCCTGTTCACTGTTCTCCACCTCTAGTTATGTACACTTCAAGTCTAGGCTCATGTCAAGTCATCTGGACAAAGGGCTTTGTGTATCACGTGATTCCATAATTTGTTTGTGGACTTCACTTGACTTAGTTTACTCTTTTTCCTCTCTTCTTCTTTTTGCCAATTCATCTGCTAGATAGATACAGTGATATCTATCACTGTTCTTCGTTCGTTATGGTCAAATATGAGCACTTATTCTTAGCTATCTCAAAAGAGCGACAAGAGTACAACTAGCGTTTCGCAATTGGCGCTTCTAAACCATCGACTTGTAATCGCTGTATCTTAGCCTTCTACTAATTCTTTAGAGTCTAAAATCCGGTATATTAGCTCAAAATAGCTATTTTTAATTAGATCAAATTTAAGAAAATTTTGACCCGTAGAGGTTGAAGTATCGTGAAAAAATGCTCCATATTCATACTGTGATACCAGATATATATTCTAGATCAGTGTGGGAGTGCCGCCATTTCTTAACAGACCTTTGTAATTTGAATTATTCTTGACCAACGCGTTTTCTCATATATTTTAACGTGATATATAAATTTAACTTGAGATTCGTAAATATTACTACAATGTAAGTGCTAATTACAAGGCTCAAACATGGTGTGATTAATTTTCCAAAATGTTTGCATTGTTAGGTGCTAATTGGGCTTAACGTGCCCGGACTCGGGCCCAAAGCCCAGCCCATTTGTGGGCTGGGTTGGGTTGGGCTATGGGCTTTATGGGCTTTGCGGAGCGCTAAGTACAACGGTAGATCTATGTCCAATATTTGAACAAGAGAGGTCTAAAGGACATCATGATACACAGTGCAACATGATATTAGACTGGTGGAACGTTAAGAAAGCTTAGAGTCAGACTGCGAAGCTTGAAAGGGTCCATTTCAAAGCACAAGTGTTTACACCATTGACTGATTGAGCAAAATTTCATGTCCTATAGATCCAACACTCTGAGTGGGGCAAGTATCAAACTCACTTATTCTCACTATTATCAGACTGAACTGGTAAATTAGATAAATAGACTGTCGTTTTCAATCCTACGACATACTGACATGGCTGCTATATCATATCTCGTATCTAGTAAAAGCTATATGTACATACATATGGGGCAAGGAAATCAAACACTGACATGTTGAAACATCAACAGCAAGCTTAGTTCTGCGACCATCTTAAAGTAAGGCGCCTTCACTTCTTTGACTCGCCCTCATTTTTTTCAGTTGCGTCCTTTTTAGGTGCTTCCTTCTTGGGGTCATCTTTGTTGTCATCCTGGTTTTCCTTAGAGCCATCATCCTTGGGCTTCTCCTCCTTGGGCTTCTCCTCCTTGGGCTTCTCCTCCTTGGGCTTCTCCTCCTTGGGCTTCTCCTCCTTGGGCTTCTCCTCCTTGGGCTTCTCCTCCTTGGGCTTCTCCTCCTTGGGCTTCTCCTCCTTGGGCTTCTCCTCCTTAGACTCCTCCTCCTTCTCCTTGGACTCATCCTTCTTCTTATTTTCTTCCTTGTTGTCGGGCTCTTGCTTCTTATCCGCTGTATTCTCGCCCTTATCCTCGGAGCCTGTCTTCTCCTTTTTAGGTGCAGCCTCAGAAGAACCCTCGGATTTCTCATTGGAAGCCTTTTCTACCTCATCATCCTTTGTGTGCGCACCTTTATGTTCATCCCCGTGAACGTCGTGGTGTCCCTCCGAGCTGGAAGGCCAGAGATAGAAGACCATTGGAACAGTCACAGCAGCAGAGGCCGCCAACCTACAAGCAGGCGCAGTTAGAATATTAAGTCGAATTACTTGGAACCAAGAACATAGACTCACCAAGGCAAGTCACTGGATGCACGTCCTGGCTCATAGCTGCCGCCAGTAGACTTAAATCGGCGACCAAGATTCTGGGCCGATTGGCGGGTAACAGAAGAGATACGGAAAGACTGAGCTGCAGTCGCAGCGCGGAAGATTGAACGGCGCGCAAATACCATTGTGTAGTAGTAAACTGGTATAAATAGTGTAGAACGGACGAATAATATGGAGAGTGGGATAGGTTGAGGGAGGCGAATTGTTCAGGTATGAGGTACGGAGTAGAAGTGCACAAAGTCCCGATGTCAATTTAACACTACAAACCTTCCCGGTTTTCGCAAGTATCGGGGTCGTAAGACCGCATCTTGCTTGTTTCCGAGGTCTGTGCGTAATGATGTAATTGGCGTGGAGGTGTTCGATGCCTCAAACACAAGTTGGGCTTGGTGATTCCAGATGGTAGCAAATACTCATGGAGAACCTTTGAAGTACAGATTTCAATACCTTGGTAGGGTACCAGGAGAACTGGCCTTGTTGGAGTGTTGGACTTTGATATCACGTGGATCTCAACGATCTATCTGGTTATCAGATCAAATTACTTGACATTCAACCACTTAGTGTCAACTTGATTGGTATAATCAAGATGGAGTGCAATTATAATAATTAAAGGTCATTAGTCATGACCAGATACTTTATATGAATCGCTCAATACTTTGACAAGCGTACTCCGTAGAGTAATTGTAATCGGGGGCCTCAGGCCATAAATTATCGACACCTCAGGCGCCACACCCCACGTTGCGGCGTTTATCGAAAGCTCCCACCGCAAGCTGTCCCCGTCGCCTTCATATACACTACTTCACTTGTCACCCGTCGCTTTGGGTGCATATTTCTTCCAACCTCTATACCAATATCAGTCATAATCTCAACAATATGGCGGACCGCCAGGTTACTCAGCAGACAATTTTCAGCTTGCTAGCGAAGCTTGACGACCCCGATGCCGACTTGAGATACATGTCACTGAACGATCTTTATGGGATCCTGACCAACCCGAACTCTTCATTTCTCTCTCATGACCGCAGCACATCAACAAGACTCGCAGAAGGTCTATTAAAGGCTCTGGATGATCAACACGGCGACGTGCAGAACCAGGCCCTCAAATGGTTCGTACTGAGCTCTATTATCCGCTTGTCCTACTGATATCTAACTTGAACTAGTCTCGGTCCTCTCGCTGTTCGCTTGCCATTTGAATCCCTTACACCTCTCCTCGAGCGATTGGCCATCCTGACTGCCTCGCAGACGATAGACACATCCGTCCCCAACACTGCTCTTCGTGTCATCGTCGACACCCTCCCTCGTCCCCAATCGGGTCAGCCTGCGTCTCAAAATGCGATTACAGCATACTCAGCAGTTTCAAAGGTCTTAGTCCCCCGTTTGACCGGACCGACACCCTCAAGTACAGGAAGGCGGGGCTCCATGGTGAAGAGCATGATGGAGAAGGATCCATCACGAGGCTTCAGCAGTGATGCGATCGATGTGCTCATCAAGGTCGTGACCTGCTTTGGGCCTTTACTCCAAGAGTCGGAACTCGCTGCCCTCCAAGTATCCGTCATGGCTATTATCGAGAATGACACGGCTGGAACTGTCGTCACCAAGCGCGCCCTAACAGCCATCTCGGCGCTTGTGCTCCACTTCTCCGACAACCAGCTCAATGATTTTGTGTCCAATCTGACGAAAACATTGTCTTCCGATATTTCCATGGTGCAGCGTCGGCACTTGATCGCTGCAATTGGCGTCATTGCAAGAACTGCACCTGCGAAATTCGGCCCACACCTGGATACCCTTGCTCCTTTTGTCTTCTCAGCAGTCGGGGAGGTCAACATTACCCGGGGAAACTAAGTTGTCATAATCACCGGCCTACAACTCATAGATGTCTGACCGACACCCTCGCCTAGATAGACCCTTGCATGTGATGCTGAGGGCTGCTCCGCAGTAATAGCCTCACGTGCTGCATTTGATCTGAATGGGCTACATGTCGTCAGGTCATGATCATACCGATCGCTCTCACTAGGCTGTGATATGCTGAATCGGGAAAAATGTACTGGACTCTCAGGCTAACTCTCCGATGCCCAAGATGGCCATGGACTTTACGATACCCACGTTCATATTGAATACAAGCGCGTCAACATCTACTTCTACTATATGTAAAAGGCTGGAAGCTCTTTTCAGGTGGTTTGCTCCTTCCCTCTATGTTAAGTAAACAAATGCTTCGAAGCGCCGCTCTTTCCTTTCCTTCCTCTAAAAGTTAGCTCATCCATTACTTCTCCCACGTCCTTCTTGTCTCTTCTGTCACCTTTCACCCCGAATCACCTATCCCGAATCATTACCTCTTGTATTTCCAATTGAACATAACATAGCCCTATATACCAATTTCAAGATGCGGATTCCTCCCGTCTTGGTCGCTACTTTGGCGACGTGTGTGTTTGCTGGGGTGCATATTGCCAGTCCTGTGCATACGGTCTCGATTGAACAATCTCAACCAGAAACGGAGTCGTCTCATCTGGACACCCGTGATGCCCCTAACAATTTGGACTATCGCTGTGGCCCCAAGATCGGCAAATGTCCGGTCGGTACATGCTGCTCTGGCGCAGGTATGTATCAAAATTCTATTGAGTTGGGCAACTTTCTGATGACATCTCTGTGAAAGGTTTCTGCGGTACGTCGAAGGCGCACTGTCGCTCTCCAGACTGCAAGATTGACTACGGTAAATGTGATGCTCACCGATCGCCTTCTGGACCCCCAACCAAGGAGATCCCCCGTCCTCACGTTGGTCAAGTTGCCTATGGCCCTCACGAAATTCGTTCATGTGCCATCCCCGGAACTGTTGCATTGACCTTCGACGATGGTCCGACACGTTACACTGGCGACCTGCTCGATTTGCTCGATAAATATGATGCGAAGGCGACATTTTTCATTACTGGTATCAATAATGGAAAGGGTGCCATCGATGATCTCACCTTACCGTGGGCTTCGCTGATCGAACGAATGCACTCGAGTGGCCACCAGATCGCCAGTCACACTTGGTCGCATGAGGACCTCAGCAAAATCACCCCTTCACAACGCACTGAGCAGATTGAAAAGAACGAAGCTGCCCTGCGCAATATCCTCGGACATTTCCCCACCTACATGCGACCGCCGTATTCCAGCTGCAACCCTGACACTGATTGCGGAAATGAGCTGGGCAAGCTTGGATACCATATCATTTTATATGACATTGACACGGATGACTACAAGAACGATAGTCCAGATCTGATTCAGCGGTCCAAGGACATATTTGATCACCAGCTCTTGTACAGTGACCCTCGCATCAAGTCCTGGCTTGTCATTGCTCATGACGCCCATGAACAGACTGTCCATAATCTCACGGAGCACATGCTCAAGGGAATCAAACGACAGGGCTACCGCGCCATCACTGTTGGTGACTGTCTTAAAGATCCCAGGCCGCTCTGGTACCGCAAGGATAGCCGGATACCCACTCATAAAAAGAAGCCCAAGAATACTGCTTCGGCAGATCCCAACAAGCCGATCTCTTGGGACGGCTCTTGCGGTTCTAATTACACTTGCCTGGGGTCCGCCTATGGCTTTTGCTGCGGTAGTACCAACTCTTGTGGTAACACCACCAGTCATTGTGGTAGCGGTTGTCAAAAGGATGCTGGATATTGTTCCGTTGAGGCTCCTTTCAATGGCGACGCCTGGGACCCCAAGGTTGAAACCAAGGGCCACAAGTCAGAAGCTGATTCTGATTTCCGAACCATTGGCACTGCGGCTGCGACCTCGTTGTTCCTTGCTTTGATCGTTGCGATGTGGATGTGAAGTGGATGTGATGAATCATCTTGATCTTTGGATTGGATTGCCATGATTGGTTGACTGAGTTTTACATTGTTGAGATTATAGGCAGTTATACTTACACGGTGTGGCTTTGTGGCCAATCCATTCTTTTGAACTTATCAGCAGGCGTGGCAGGGTTAATTAGCTCATGGAATAGGAATCACCAAGTAGCAGAATTGCAATACGAAACAAAACTTCGTCTTCTCGACTACCGATCATAGGCTGTTATATAATCCTTTGGTTGTGAAACTTACTCACTGTTAGCAAAACAAACGTAATTCTTTCTGATATTGAGAGTAGCTGAGAATATCTCAAGACAAATTGTCGCAGCCCGCATCTGGTCAAGACGCCATGAAGGAAGCCAACCTTTCTACCAAGGTTCCACTCCATATAAATGGGGAAGTACAGACATGCAATCATAGAAGATATGCAGATACCAATACCAACAGAAACAAGCAAAAAAAACCAAAGCAGGCACGCCGAGAACATTATCTCGAGGGGTATAATGATTGCAGAAGAATAACAGCACCAGACCAACCCAATGGAAGAAAAAGGAACAACACAACACACGAAATGGGGATTTCGATGAAGAAAGCACAAAACTCTCCTATTTCCGTACCATCTTGAGCAACGGCGCAATCCTCGCCCTTTTACTCAATCCCACGCGGTAAGGCACCCCGCTCCGCGCCAAGATAGGGCTGTGCTTATCTGGGCCTTTGCTTGTGTTCTGGGGTGTATTGATAGACGCAACATCGGGTTTCGAAGGAGTCTGAGGCTGAGGCTGAGGGATATCAATTGTAGTTTCAGGAGGCGGCACCAAACCAGGGAGTGGATGGGGGTTCTGGTTCTCGCTTTGAATGGCAGATGTATCTTTGTCACCGTTTTGAGCTTCCAGCATGGATCTAGGACTATTGTCGACAACGACAGCCAACTTCGATGCTGGAGTCTGGGCTCCAGAGGGCGACTTGGTTGGTTCAGGTGTATTTGCGGACTCTAATGGTGTTTCCACTTGGTCTGCAGTCTGCTTTCGCTTGCGGCCGCGTTTCTTGGGTGCTGTTTTTTCGATGTGTTGCATCTTTTCTTCGACTGCAGGAATCGGTGCCTGGGGTTCAATGGGAGAGGTTGGGTCCACGAAATTGGAGTTCAAATCCTGGCCTGGAGCTTTTGATGCTTCCGGCAGCAGAGTGGCTTTCTCGGTTGAAGGTTCCGAGCTGAGAGGCTTCGTATCTACCCATATCACGTCGTCATCGGCGTCAGGCACCGGGGTTGGTGTCGTCTTGGTCTTTTTGGCTTTCTTCTTTTTCGGCTCCTTGGGTCCTGATTTTGCCGGCTTGGAGACTGTATCTAGATGTTCTTCGTCAGTCTCAACGGGGACTCCACTCGAGCCCGGGGTGTTATCTTCCGTAGTCTCTTCGCTGTCAGCGGGGTCAATCGCACCATTTGTGCCGGGGTGTTTGAACTCGTGGTCCCGAGAGTTGGCTAGCTCATCGTCTTCGTCGCTATCTGGCACGAGGTGCTTCTTGGGCCGTCCTCGCTTCTTTGTTGCACTGAGCGTCTCGGCACCTGACGCAGTTGGTGGGACAACTGGCAGAGCGAGCTCGTCATGCGTGCTTGACTGGGATTGCTGCGGGGAAATGAGACTAGTTCTGGCGGTGGTTGTTTTTGCTTCGCTGAATCGCATAGATGTAACGGAGGAAAGAGGCTCGGTGTCATGGGGGGAAGAGGGACCTGTCTGTTGAGATTTCGACTGTGAAACTTCCTGGGGTGGGTCTGGTGGTGGATTATCCCGTCCCATACAGGGTTCGATAGCTTGGAGAGGTAAAATTTTCGGGGGCGAGGTCATTGAGTGAGTGATCTCAGGTGGATTCAAGTCATAGGCATCCTGTCTGGTGGGCAAAAAAGTCTGATGTGCATCAACGTAGGCGTCAATGGGTGCTGGATTATATGTGAAGCTGCGACTTTCTAGTTGATCCATATGATATGGGTGGGAACTTGGTATGGTGGGAAATGGCGTAGATTGGAATGACTCTGTCGAGTACAGCGCAGCTGTGGAAGGGAGCAGTAGGCTTGCACTTGATGGGTCGTCGTCCAGTAGTTTTCTCTGCGCGATTCCAATCTCCGTCATCATGGCGCCTAGATCATCTTCGGCATCAGCATATAGGTCACATAGCCATTTTTATGTTTCGGAATATGCTATCATATCGTACCGACCGACCCACTTCCACCCTCGCTGGTTGAGGGGATCCATTTGTCCTCGCGCCGCTGCTGCGATGACGATAGCATTGAATGGCCCCTTTCTGGCGATTGGAGAAATTCATCGAAGTTGACGTTCAGCTGTGAGCAGGTACTTTCGTCGGGAGCAGGGACGTATTCATACACTGCATTGTGGATCGCCTGTTTGGCGGGGGCGTGATGTTCCTGCTGCAATACGGGCTCGGAGGGGACAGTGTTGACAGAGGTGGGGAGGCCACCCCCCTCGAAGGGCTCATCCTCATCAGAATCCTGGATGACACGATCCAAACTCATTGGGGTTTACCTATCAATGTTGTCAGAATTAGTGGCTTTGATCATTGAGCGAAAAGAAAGTTGTCTAACGCGTCCCTGACACGACAGCACGTGATGATAAGGATGCATGATAACTCTTATTTAACCTCATGTTGAGAACATACCCTACGCAAGCATGGTTAGTCTTTTTTTAGGAATCAGTTCCACTTTTCGAATGCCTGAGATGTTTCAGTCTTTATTAGCGGACTACGGGAAATAGCTATGTTTTTTGATCAATCAGCTACCTACCCTACCATACCGTACTTGGACCCCCTCCTCCTTGATCTTTTTTTTACAACGATTGATATCACACCCTCCCTCGGCTTATGGGGAGCTATTCCGTACTGGATTATACAAGGCTGATTAATCCTCGCTCCTCTGCATTGCTTCGGAAGAAATCGTCTTCCATGCCTGCTTCCGGGTCACTCTCACTTCCTAGCATACTCGTTGATGAAGAGATCTCGCCAGTATACGATTCTAAATACTTTTATCTAGTTAATTTAGGAGAGGTTCTCGCCAATCGTTATCGAACCATGGTTAAGTTGGTTAGGATATATCTTCGACAGTATGGCTCGCGCGTGATTTACAAGAGTGGCCTTTAATAATTTTATTCAACTTCAAGCTCCTTCTCTATCTGTAACTGATATTTTACGATCCTAAGAAGCTAGAGACTGTCATGACACTGAAAATTACCAATATTAATACAAGTTCCGCTAGTTATAAGCGCGAAATTAAGGAGTATATTTCCACAGTAGACCTATCATATCGCGGTCGCTCAGTGATTTCTAATATTATTAGACTATTTCAAAGTTAAAAATCTAGAAGGATCTTATTTATACCTTATATATCCGCCTAAGAGGGAACCACTATCGATGTATTAGCGGCACTTTAAGGATAGAAAGATACCACTACCCCTTACTAAAATATATATCTATGCTCTTCTTACGGAGCTTGATTATCTGAATAAAACATACAGGATAATTTATACGGGTAAGTTTGTCTTTGGTCTTGCTTTCCGCTAGAAATACTAAGCCTAGGTGGCCGCCTAGATCTCAAGCTTGAGAACATCATGGTCTCCCTCGGGGATCCAGCCGTGCTTGCTGATTTCATGGATTCTCAGCTCGAAAACCGATGACTGTCAGAGTTTATTCAGCTGGAGGATCAGTACCAGTCCTGCGATGACTTCGGCTTTTTTTCTTCAAAACAGGAAACCAACCACCTGGTTGCGAGCGTTTGCTAACCAAGTGACTCGACTGCATTGTTGATCCCAGTTGAGCGATGCTATCAGATGACCTGTAGAGGCGTTAAGGTAGCGTTTTGAATGACATCCAAAGTGACTATATCAAATACAGAGTCATATTTTGACGTTTGAATCCAGTAGGCTTAGTATCTTTTGAAAAAAAAAAAAAACGCCTGGGCAGTCAATATGATAATGATATCTTGCTTCAGCATTAGTGCTTACAATGCCAAACGCTCTCCCGGCGGGCCACCGGTTAAAATTTGCCGGACTCGGCATCTGACGGGGCTAACTCGGGGAGCTAGACGGTTTTAGTGGGCATTCCCAGCCCTGTATTTGATTTGGGAATATTATTAATTCCATCATGGGCTTCATACTTTGGGTATGTGCATTGTAGATCTATAATTGCAATATACCCGAAGCCCAACTAAAACGAAACTCTTTGCATATGTTGTTTCTCGCATGATAGAGCCAATTCGGGAACGGATTTCACAATCAATATTACTCTAGTGCTGACACGATGTGTTCCGTGGGAAAGACTGAGGCAAATGAAATATCGCTTACTAGCTCCTACTTACCCTCCTTACCTTGGTAAATATATTATGTAGGGCCGAGGTGCTACAGCCTGGTTCAATAAGTGCCATAGAATAGACCACAGAACTCTTAGCATATACCACGATTCAGGCTTATATTTATGCCCAAATATCAAAGATTTGCTCCATACTAGACAAGGTACTTACATTGTGCCTGTCGATCAACTGAGGTTTCAACGAAAAAGGTATGACATGTACATATGCACATATTATGTACTATCTAAGGTTCATGGAATACTATACACTGTACGAAGTACCGAGCCGGAAGCTTAATCCCATGAAAACATGCGGCATCCAGGTCAGGAAATGGCAAGCGACGAGAAATTCACAGAGTCGGCTTACGTCGTTATGTCAATGTGTCTAGTCGGTGAAAATGGAAATTGATATCCGCTTTCTGAATTATATACGTAGGTGGCATATCCCGATTGCAAAAATTTGGGGTTCATACATGACATATCCTGGAATCAGGGACTTGTTTGATATATATATTGCGGCAAATTTCTGTTTGAATGTTCATCCCGAAGTCTCCGATCTGATAAAACAGGGTCAACTTCAGGATCTGATAAAGGCAACTCTGTTGCCGATCGAGCCAAAAAAGGGAATATCGCTGTGGGTCCCGAATCTCGGGCTTATCTTCCTTGCACGGTGTTGATCTCCGATACTCAAAAAGGCTCGAAACAATTGCAATCTCGGTCCTTGGCATTTACGTCCTGGACAGAAATTCTCAAACTCGGTGATATTCTGTGTTGATCACACACATAGGGCCTGGGCACTGTACTTTTTTCTCCATTTAGCCACTCGGCAGGTTGAGAACATGTCGATCGTCATAAGTCTATCCAATCAAGAAGTCATCAAATCGAAACCAAACTCGAACCGACTTCGACGGCTTTTTTGTTAGACTTTTGACACGTAGTCTGCAGAAATGGTTATATAAAGAGCGATCTGCTGTGCCACATACTCGATTCTCACAGAAACCTAAGCATCGACCCGGTGCAGAACATCATGTTCTTTTTCTCCCTTCTGGTCCTATTGGCTGCTTCGCTATGTCAAGCCGCCTGTCCCTACGCGCATTTGGCAGATACCAGAGACCTCGACACAAGCATTAAATCTCGCTCTGATGTAGTGCTACCTCGTGCTACGCCGGGGAAGAAAGGCATCATGCTGTTGAACCGCATCAATCCCTCCTCATCGCAACTATACATTGCCAATGCAGATGGCACAAATGAACGCTCTTTGTTGGGCGATAACTCCAACTACGAATATCACGCTTCCTTCCATCCAGACGGTAAACACGTTGTCTTCACCACTGAACGAAACGGCGATGGCAACTCCGATATCTACATGGTCAACGTCGACGGCAGCGGTCTGAGACCAATCGCAACCACTCCCTCGGTTGAAGATGCAGCAGTCATCTCTCCCAATGGCAAATACGCCGCCTACGCATCCACAGCCGGCGTCTATACCTCCAACATCTGGCTCACAAACCTCGAGACCGGCGTTACCCGCAACCTCACCAATCAGACCGGTGTGACGGGCAAACCGGAATCACCGAATGGATTCTTTGCGCCTGCCTGGTCACCTGATGGGAAATGGATTGTCTTCTCCTCTGATCGAAACACTGCGTGGACCGGTCACGACAATGGCACTGGCTGGGAGCACACTCAGAAGCTGGCTATCTATGCCATCACTCCTGAGGGAACTGGTTTCCGTGAGGTGTACAGCAAACCAGATTACACCTACGGGTCACCCCGATTTTCCCCCGATGGCAAGCGAATTGTGTTCTACGAGATGACTGTTCAAGCAACTTGGGATGCGCGGTCGTCGTACTCTGTCAACTCCACAACCAACCAAATCGTTTCTGTGGACTTCAAAACGGGAACCGATTTTGTCCGACACACTAATACCTCCGGCATCAAGATCTACCCCCAGTATGTCTCGAAAACTGACATTGGATACTTGCTGAAGGGTGGAGACAACGGTGGTATTCACTATACCTCCAGCAAAAAGAAGATTCTCGGCGGTATGCGCTCGCCTGCGTGGTCCGCCGACGGCAAACACGTGGTCTACGAGAGGACCGGCTGGGAAATTCGGCCTTTGCAAAAGGAGCTGTGGTCCTGGGACTCGGAGTGGGATTACCGCTTCATGGATGTCTTCCCCGATCTCTCTCTCGATGGACAATTGACATTCACCTCCAAACAGACGGGTAGCCCCGGCAACTCGTCTGTGGCCGTGATGCCTCCTGGCGACACCGAATTTACCGTGGCATTCGATACGTACGAAACGGGTGCGCTCGACGAAGCCACCGTTGCCAAGGGCGGTGGTGGGTCTTTCCAACCATCATGGTCATCCGATGGTAAATGGATTACCTTCAGTCTGGGCTCGTGGTTCCAGAGCCGTGGCCAGAAGCCCGGCTGGATCTTCCGAACCAAGGCGGATGGATCGAGCTACGAGCAGCTCACCTTCGGCAACTCCTCCAACAAGGGTTTCCCCAGCTTCTCTCCCGACGGCAAGAAGATTGTGTATCGCGAATACCTGCCTGGATTTGGCCTGCGTCTGCTAGACCTGGAGTCCAACGAGACCACTACCCTAACAACAGAGCGTGACAACCTGCCATTCTTCTCGCCATCCGGCGAGTGGGTGCTATTCACGCGCAACATGACCGACTTGTCGAGAAACGAATTCTCAAACTATGAGGTGTGCATTATTCGTCCTGATGGAACGGATTTGACTGTTCTCACTACATCGTTTGCCAACGATGCCCATGCTGTCTGGACTGCTGATGGGCGTATTATGTGGTCTACTGGAATGTGGGGATTCCAGGCTGAGGCTGCGACTTATGATGATACATTCCAGCCCTACGGCCAGATTATGGTTATGAATGTTGACGGCTCGAACAAGACTGTTCTCACTGATAGTTTATGGGAGGATTCAATGCCGCGTTATGTACCAAATGAGTTTTTGGAACAGTAAAATGCGGCCTGTTCTAATGATAGAGTTTGAAATGCCGTATGATTATGGACCTCGGGTATAGCGGTATCAAAGGATTTCAAAATCAAATATCCAAGGTTGCTTATATTTTAGAAAAGAAAAGAGCTAAATTAGCCGAGCAGTGGCTAACTGTCTTCACTCCCCATATATTCCATAGAACAAGGACTTATATCCCATCTCCGAACATCCATATAATTACTTGATAGGAAAGAGTACGCTTGTGTCTTATCATTGTATGCAAATCCCCCAGGACTCCGGAAGTTGTATGTTGGGGAGTACAACAAAAACACCGGAGATTGGAACGGATATCATAAGCTCATTGGATGAGTAGTTAAATGTTGAATCTGAGCAAACATTGGTTATGAGCGACGTAGATAATAAAAACGAATTTCAGTATAACTCAGGCCACAAGCCTTCTCTTTCTCTCGAGGTGTCTCTTTCATCTTGGTCTAAATTCTCTCTTCCTAGTCAGACCGCTTCTCGTCCCACCTTATTTCGCGCAAGGCTCAGTCTCGACAATTAAGACAGCGAGCGGCGAACCGTACTCATGTTTTCCATTGAACATACCAATTTTCGCGTCTTAAAAGCGAAAATGACGCAAAGGATCACCGATGTGGGATTTATCGATATAAGCTTCCTCAAACTTCCCGAGAAGGAAGAGCGTCAGCTCTGTTTGAAGTGAGTATTCACGAGAGAAAACGTGTCATCGAGTCTAGTACATTACCAAACAACCTCATAATCTCTCTGTTCTTCCTACTAATCTCTCTATTTCGGTGGCCCAGTTGGCTCATGAAAGACCACGAGAGCCCTTTCGTTCGTGGAGCCACTGCCTCTCGTTTACTGGAGGCAAAAGGCTTTTGCGAGCGAGAATCCATACCCGAGCTCCGCGGAATAGTCACCAATATTGCACTGTCTCAATTGCCCAGCAAATGGCCATAGAAAACATACTCAGTACAGGAAATGTTTGACGAAGACAATTTACCGCTTAACGCTATTCTGATTAAACACAATCTCCATCTTGAACAAATAAGCCTGTCCAATCATTCAATATAATAATAGATGGATAATATCCATCAAATCGTAAGTGCTATCCATCTCGCACAAGTCTATCATGGGGATCCATACCCCAGAATTACGATGGTATCTCGCGAACAGAGCAGAGTTCTATGGATGTATTTCGAATGCTCAAGGACATTTTCTGAAACTTCCACCCCTAAGAGGAGGGAGAAAAGTATTTTCAAAGAAAAGAGGTAGGAATTGTAACTCAATTTATAGAATCCTTGATATGTGTAACCTCATTCACAGATGGACTTAGGGTCTGTCTGACGTTTTATTAGGTTAAAGTCCACGATAGCGGAGAGTTGAGGTTTTCCCAGATGTACTATGGGAGTGAAACGGGTGACGGTGAGACGTGGTGACTTGGTCCCGAAGTGAAAAGAATGCTTTTGACTGGTAGTAATTGGGCTGGGGAAATATCACGAGTTCGAAGGCTCTCCATAAGGTGGAGATATCTAAAAGGACTTCTAAAAAGGCTTTCGAATAGACACCACAAGTGCAAGTCAGGTACTACCCAGCCCTTCTATTGAGCCGCCATGTGAAATATACCTACCATCCGAGTGTCTTTAAACTCGTAGTCATCAACCGCAATATCACATAGATAGAGATAAACAAAGCTTGGAGATATATGATATCAGAGCACCATTATCTATGGGATTTTTTGAGAACAGAATCTGTGGTGGATAGTACAGTCAAGGAGGGCCTTAAAAGTGCAGTTTTTCATCGTCTAGATTGACATAATGACAATATAGAGCCTAATAAAAAACATCGTAGCTTTTATCACACTATAACGTAATCTTGACTCTTAATATCAATATCTTTCCTAAGTATAATATATCCGATCATATGGTTTAGAATAATTTATAAGACTTTTAAACGTTGAGCACTATAAGTGCCTTCCTAATATGCAAAAGATGCATGTTCAGTAGACATGCATTAACCCGTGCGCCCCGATCTTCCAGGAGGAATTAGTTCGTACATAGGGCCGACTACTTGGATGAATTTGTATAAATTCCAAAAAAAGAACATGTGCAAAAAAAGTGAGGTCGTGCCCGGGATCGAACCGGGATCGGTGGAATCAGAATCCACAGTGATAACCATTACACTACACAACCTTATTAGTTGATAGGAATAACATTAGAGTCTATATAGCCCTAAAATTCTCTACAACAACTCCAGGAAAAATAAAACTTTTGCGCCTCGGAATAGATTAGATTTGCGGGCAAAATCGCAAAAAATATAACAAGATCCAAAAAACAAGGTCGTGCCCGGGATCGAACCGGGATCGGTGGAATCAGAATCCACAGTGATGACCATTACACTACACAACCTGATTTGTTGGTTTAGGGTATCATAGTTGACATTATATTCTTTTCCATCAGATAGAGTTCATGGGTTAAACTCACCATTCTACGAAACTGAAAATAGGGAGAACTGTACAAACATCTAGCAAGAAAATCTGAGATATCCAAAAAATACTTCGAAAGGAGACATGAAACGGCCGCTTCGGTGGCTTGTAAGAAACCGTAGTTCTAAAAGCAGTCTCTAACCTACACAACCGGTTGTATTCAGTGAATCAGGCGCTACCGACTGATGTTGTGATCCGCGTATTCACTTCCATCAGACATGTTGCACTCGAGCCTGCAGGCATTGCGGAAAAACCACCAACAAAGTGCAAAACACAGCGACAGTCCGTATCCCGGACTCCCAGGCTACGACCCCAGATCTCCGGTCTCTTCCATGATCATTATTGCCCCGGGTATGTCGATTATTGGTTCGAATTTGGATAGGTTACAGGCATCTCGCGTGTGGTATCGGGTTACCAACACGACTACATATCCGAGTTCTTACGGGAAGTTGATCTCTAGCTTAGCAGCATGGGATTGAACGAGGACTATTGTTGGGAAAACCGATCATTGAGCTATACGGAACTGCGGTCACACAGACTGTCTCCTAGGGGTTTATCCACAGGTAGTACTTATTTTCATAAATCACAGGGAATTTGCCGGAAGCTATTCTTCAGAGTTGATACCTACTCCGGCCATGGGATAACCTAGACTACACTAAATCCCCTTGGTGACCTGATCGGCGGACTAATGCCTAGTATGCGAGGAATAAGTATTCTTCTGCGGTTAGACATTTGGAATCTAGTGGTATTAAGTACTCGCTGGGGTTTGTTGGTGTAAAAAAAATTAGGTCATCTACTAGCTGGGATAAAGCTCAGTATTGCTCACATCCGGGGGTTTGCTAGTGGCTAGGGCGTGTTGGTTACAAGTGCCACACTCGAAAGCAGAGACCAGTGACGCTATTCGCAACTTTGTTTACTGCGCAAGTCCTGCTGGCGGGGGGTGGATGCTAATTTACTTTCTCATCCGTTGAGAGCATACGACAGGGCGTTGATACTAGGTTTTGCCCCATCATTATAACCTCGCTATGCGTTGAGGTAGTAGGGTTAATCACAGTATCACCGTAATGTTCAATCTTGTTTTACTATATTAATTTGAGCGTTACTTAGCGTGACACGTTCAATGCGTGTCGCTTCTATTCGAACATTGGCTTGGATTTATATATATATCGAACGTAGAACGTTGAAGGAAGCCAAATGATCATTGAATCACCGAGAAATAAATTCCGAGTAGAACCAGCCAATTTGAGGAAATAAATTGTTTTCGAGATCTAACTACTTGTTGATATTTCAAGAGAGCTATAGCTGTCACTAGAGATTGAGGTAAAGCTCCAAATCTCTTAGCGCATTATTCACTTACTTCCCATCCCAATGAGTAAGTAAAACACTTGGTTTATAGATGCATCAATCCTGGCCCAATCATCAAATCAGGTTGTGTAGTGTAATGGTTATCACTGTGGATTCTGATTCCACCGATCCCGGTTCGATCCCGGGCACGACCTCTTTCTTTTTCCTTTTTTTATTTCAGGGATTTTTCTGATTTCCTTAATGTGGCCTGGAAATATATATTTTTATTTCAAAATCCTTGAGCCTAGACTTGAGCCTGAATCTAGACCCCCTGGATCTATACGAGAACCTTCTAACGCCCCAACTGGCCGGGAAACCTTGTGTCTGCGTGATTAGTTAATACGGGTTTAGCCCCGGCCTCAGGCCCCAGGCCCCCCAGGCCCCGGGGCTACCCTACCCATGGACATTCCGAATGAGTATCTCGAGAGGCACCCGAATGTCAAACAAACCACCATGCACTATTAGGTTCCAGTGGGTTGTGTCAATAACAATACAATGACAGAGAAACCATGTAAACCGTATACCAGACATAGAGAAGAGGTAAATCCAAACGCGTGACCCCCTGGGCAGCGCTACCGCAAATTTGGTTCCCGAAATCTTATTTCTGCCGATGTTCTTTCACCTTCCGATATAAACCTCATAACCATGACTGGGACTTTGAATGACCCTGTCGAAAATAACGGTTACGTCCGGTCACCATTGCCAACCAGAGTCCGTAGTGCTTGCGAAAGATGTCGTCGCCACAAATCTCGGGTAAAACCCCTTTGATCGGGATTCAGTGAAATATACTGATTCCAACTCGGACCTAGTGTGATCCTGTTCGGCCTTGTTCGGTTTGTATCCGAGCCAATGTTGATTGCCGACCACTCCCAACAACCCATTCACGGAGGAGCTCTCTGCCAAAGTAGGCTGTACGGCAGGATGCCTTAAACCTGTTCTTCTACTTACACGAGATAGTAGGCGCCTGGGCTCCAAACGAAACCAGCGACTTGACCGGCATCAATCTAATCAGCCTCCAGTGACAACTCCAGTGACCGGTGCCGAAAAATCTCCGGGTGGAAATGGCTCTGGTCGCGCCGAAAGAAGTCCTGACCAGAGTAGATCGATAGACGTGCACGTTAACGGCAATGATGCTGAATTTTCCGCTGGAGGGCAGAATATGTCTTCGTCCCTCGACTGCGGGGAAGCCGAATCTGCCATAGGAATTGCTCGCAGAATTTGTCAACTTGGCAGCCATAACATCGATGAACAAACCACATCCGCAATTCCTGGCTATCAGGCCAGCAGCGGTGGCTCCGTGGTAAATTCGGCAACTGGCCAACGCATTCCGATCTCTTCCATCTTGAGGCAGCCGTTCCCTCCCATGGAACTCGTATACAGTCTGTTGGAAGATTATTTTGATGCTATACACTGGTTTTCTCTCGCCATTTACGAGCCAAAATTCAGAAAGAGCCTCCTTTCCATTGCGGATGGCTCTGCATATCCCTCACAAAGACCGTTTCTCGTACTGTTAGCCATGATGCTTGCAATGGCATCATGGTACCGCTCCCAGAGAAGTTTTGCCGATCTGGCTGATAACAACGATTATATGGAGAAATTAAGTGCGGACTTGCTGGGGCTGGTTGAGTCCAATCTGGTGGAATTGATGGACCAACCTTCAATCACCTCCGCCCAGACCTGCATTCTCTTAGGATCGCATCACGTCTATCACGGCCGTCCAAATCTCTCCTTTTCCTTATTAGGAGCAACGATAAAGATGGCTCAGTCCTTAGGAATGCATCGGGGGCTTGGACGGGGCGAGTTCGAAAATATCGAGGAAAGAAAAAGAGTGTGGTGGACGATCTACACATGGGATAGGTTCGCGTCAATTACCTATGGCCGTCCACTGGGCATAAACGACAAGGATTGCAATCTTGACATGCCAGCGGATGTGTTCGAGAACCCTAAGTTTGTTGCTCCAGCCACCGGTCAGACTAGCCCCATATGCTATTCAACTTACCAGAGGGAGTTAAATCAGCTGTATTTGATTGCATCGCCTGCCCTCAAGACCGTTTTTGGCTCACGGACTCTCAGGACGTCCGAACAGCTAAACGGCGACACATATTTTGCATTAGTCAGGCACGCCACCGAGAACCTCCAGAAATGGCGATCATGCCTACCGAGCCATCTAGCCTTGGATGTTGATCGAGACTTTGGGCCCGATGATAGACCGAGCTTGAGAGCACACGCCTTGCAGTCCTTGTCGCTACAACTGACTTACGACAACGTTCTAATTGTGTTGCATCGGCCTTTGCTGGCACGGCAGGTCGATCATCTCTATACCGTGAATAAGCAATCACCAGAGGAAAGCATCACAGATAGGATTATGTATCATCCGAGCACCGCTCCATCCGTGGCCCGGTCGAACCCATCTCTCGACTCCACATTCCCCAATACCCAGGCTACAAGTCCGGATCTATGGATGAATGCCGCAACAAGAACATCGAGGGTAACCGAAATGCCTGTTCTAGCCCAGCTTGCCACCGACAGTCATCTCGGCGCCTTTCTTGCCATCAACCTATTCAACGCCGCAATCGTTTTGGCTGTCATGGCTCTCTCAGAGCCTCTTTCCGATACCGCTCAGGAAGTGAAGCGCACAATTACTCGCATTCTTCGTCTGCAGGATCTGCTCGGTAGACGGTTTGCACTATCGAAACAAAGCACGGCTGTGCTGAAGAACGTTGTTATCATGCTCCTCCGTCGTGAATCTGCTGCCATGCTTGCTCCGATTACCGGAACAAGCCAGGTAATGGGTCACCAACCTTTACAGACCATGCCAGATCCGTCATTGATTTCTGTTGAAGATACACTTCGGATGCCGCTTGATGCGGCCTGGGATTCTCGCAATCCTCTTGCTAGAGACCAACGTTTACCGGATCTCAGTAGGGCTGATCGCCTTAACAACAGCTTAACATCTGTCCAATATGGTAAGAAAATTATCACTGATACGAGTCCGCTTACATGATGGAACTTGCTAACGCAAATATATTTTTCAGCCTTGGGTCCAGGGGATCGCTCCGGCATTCCTGTTGGTGGAGATAACAATCAATTTCGTGAGTTGGTTGAGCCAGGCATACAAACACATGAAGTATGGCAGCCAGCAGAATACGATTGGAGTATGCCTGGTCAGTCTCGGCAGGCTCTAGAAAACAACCAACAGGATACTATTGAAGGTGGGTTGTATTGGTTATGGGACATGACGTGGAATGGAGCTGGAGGGTGATGGGGGTGTATCAATCACCACGAACATAAAGAGATGTATAGAGGGTAATTACTCAAGCAAAATGCAATCATTACACGTTGCATATCATAATAAGGCCCATTCAGGTAGTAACATGTTCAATTTTGTTGTCATGAATCTAATGTCCTGAAGACATGGGCTATACTGAACTTGCTCTTGTCTGTTCCTCGTCAACATTCGGGCCGTAGATCACACTCTTAATCCCACCTCGACCAGCAACATTTTTGAAAGCCTCCTCAGCCTGACTGAAAGAATACTCATGAGTGACGAGACCATCCAGCCTGATTCTACGCGAGTCCAGCAATCCAATGGCCAATTTGAAGTCCCCGGGTCCATACCGAAAGCTTCCTTTGAAAACAATCTCTTTATCGCAGATCTGACCAACTGGAACCGATAGGTTCGGTTTCCCCAGTCCCACTTGAATGAACGTCCCACCCTGCGCGAGAGCAAGGATACCACAGTTCAGACAGGGCTCCGCCCCAGTGGCATCCAGAGCAATATCAGCACAATCCAAACCAGCAGTTGCCAACAAATCTGCCGCATTCTTCTCCGCCGTCTCGCCGATCATTTGGTATGTGTGCGTAGCACCATATTTGACCGCAGACGCAAGCCGAGCCGGGACAACATCCACAGCAACTACTGTTGAAGCACCAAAGGCCCGTGCAACAGCGCAGCAGAGCAACCCGACAGGCCCAGCTCCGAATATGATTACCGATTGATCCTGCATAAAGCCCGCCAATCGACAGCTGTGCACAGCTACACTCAGAGGCTCGATCAGGGTACCGTCACGCAGGGATATGTGGGGTGGAAGCTTAAAACAGCATTCTGCAGGCAATCGGTAGTATGTAGCGAGCGTTCCGTCATAGGGAGGTGTTGCGGCAAAGCGCATAGCCTGGCAGAGGTTGTATCGACCGTTGCGACAATGATTGCAGGTGTTGCAGGCGATGCCGGGTTCGAGAACGACACGGTCTCCAATGGCGAGGCCTTGGACTCCACTTCCGCTCTCTACTACCACTCCTGTTGACTCGTGGCCCAGGGTTATGGGGCCTTCGACGACGTATGGGCCTATTCGGCCATGTTGCCAGTAGTGGACCTGTGTGCCGGGAGGATTGTATTAGTTTGAATTGCAATGAGGAAAGGGAAATTGGAAATTTCAACTAATTGCACTCACATCTGAGCCACAGAGACCTGTTGCCATGACTCGGACTATGACATCTCGGTCTGACTGAAGTGTGGGTTTGCTGCGTTCTTCGAATGCAAATGTGCCTCCGGGATGTAGTACGAAGGCCTGATTGGCAGTCTATATGGATTTTTTGGGGTGAGTAGATGTAATATAAACCCATGGGCTTGGGTCATGGATTAGGGTTAGGACTACCTGGTCAACTTCTGTGACAGTCATGTTTGCAGTTTTCTTTTTTAGAGTTGAGCGGGCAAAGCTTTTGGGATCCTACTGAGCTTTAAATATTATGAATATGAAAATTTTACCCACTCAGTCACATTATACAGAACTTGAGTTTGCGGACGGATCCTATATATTGTAACTTATCCGGCGGATGGTCGACGGGCCTGTGTCCAAGAAGCCGGGCTAGCAGTACGGAATAGCTGTTCAATGAGGAAACAAACAGAAAGAATTCCCGGCTCAGATCATTTGTTACTCGCAAATTTACTTCATTTCTCATATTTATTCCCCACATATCCCGATTTCAAATCCCGGGAAGTTCAGGAACCGGGACCTTTCGTATGTTAGCCCGTTGATATTCGCCACCGGAACCGAGACTAGGGCTCCACCTTATACTCCCCGGAACCGTTCAACTCCCCACAGGCCGAAATTGATGGATATTCAATGTGTTGGAACTTTGACTGGTAGGGCTAAATGATCAATAATAGTGTCCCTTTTCCGAGCCGGCAAAGAATGCCTAGAAGCCAAGCTATAGCTATATCCTATATTGCCCAATAACAATCCCGAGCCATGAAAACATATGGATTCGGCAAACCCCCGAAATGGTGACCCCATGATGTACCTCAGGATCCATTTCCCCGTCATCCTGGAGAAAAATTCTATTCTTCACGTGTCTGGGGTATAAATGTAAAGTCATTGCCCGGCCTCAAAATGTTGTTACAGAATATCTCTTGATCCAATACACAAGTGGCTTTTATACTTGTCATTGTTGGTCAATTGCTCTCCGGCACTATGACCATCACGAAATCCTTCGAGCCGGCGTCCAATGGGACCCTCAGGGAGCGCCTCCTCGCTGTCGCCGCGCAAGTCGAGGAACAGCAGAGCTGGCTGGAGAGAAAACTCAAACCTAAAAAGGTCTCGGCCAGATATCCCTTCAAAGGAACACCCTTACTGTATGCAACATGTGCCTTTGGCAGCTTGGGAGATTCCCTGTTTGGTTATAACTCCGGTATGGTATTTTTCAACATACTGTCAAGATGACTGCTGATTCCATAGGTATCATGTCCGGCCTGCTGGTCAACGAAGTTTTCATAGCTCGCTTCTTCAAAAACTATGGAGGAGCCGACGGGACGACAAGTGGAGTCAATCCCTCGATCACAGGCATATCGGTTGCGTGTTTGCAAGCAGCAGCGGCGGTAGGAGCACTCATAGCAGGTCGTCTTGGGGACATAATTGGCCGAAAGAAATGTGTCCGCCTCGGCGCCTTCATCTACTTCTTTAGCTCGTTTATCCAGATGTTTGCGCCTGGTTTCGCAACCTTCATTGCAGGCCGTACCATTCAAGGACTGGGCGTCGGGTTCCTCTCCATGACCGTGCCTATCATTCAAACCGAGATTGCTGCGCCTCATCGCCGAGGTTTGATGGTCGGTATAGAGTACAGCTGTCTGATCGCTGGATATATGCTTTCTTGCTGGGTGGACTATGGATTTAACTTCTTGCTGCCGCATAACATATCATGGCAGGGACCATTCATCATCCAGATTGTGTTCTCTTTTATCTTGTTTGGCATGTCCTTCTTCCTACCGGAAACCCCTCGATGGTTGGCTTTGAATGGTTTCGTGGATGAAAGTTTGCAAACGATTGCAGATCTACATTCTGACGGTAATACCGAAGCGGAGCATGTTCAGCAGACGTTCCTCGAAATCCAAGAAGCAGTGATCTACGAGAACAATCTTGGGAAGTCTAGTTGGAAGGTATTGTTCTTCTACGTGGGTGACTTGTTGATTTTGTGGATCACTAATCGCCACTTTACAGGAAATGTTCACCCGGTATCGTAAACGAACCATTGTTGGTATCACGGTCCAGATGTACGCGCAGATCAACGGAATCAACATCATCTCCTTCTACCTACCGAGCACTCTCTCCTCTGCTGGCTATGATAACCGCAAATCTCTGCTATTCACTGCTGCAAATGCCATTCCCTACACCGCTGCAACAGTTGTTACCTGGTGGTTAGCGGACCGATGGGGCCGGAAGCCTTTACTCATTACCGGAGGTCAGTTGAATATCTGTTATGAATAGGACAAATCAAATCGATTAGCGACTGGAGTCTAACGATCCAAATAGGTCTCGGCATGGCCGTACTATTAGCCATTGTCTGCGTCTTCACCGAAATTAATGTGGATGTCCATGTCAAAGCGAACGGACAGTATGCCTTCGTTATGCTTTACAATATCATGTACGGATTCACCTGGGGTCCGATGCCCTGGCTTTTACCTGCAGAGATATTCCCACTCCGGGGTCGGAGTAAAGGCATGGCCCTGGCCACGACTAGCAATTGGATTTTCAACTTCATCATCGGAATGGTCTCCCCGGATGCATTCGCTGGCATTCACGGTTATTTCTACCTGGTGATTGCAGGGTTTTGTCTCAGTTCGGCCCTCCTCGTTCACTTTTACTATGTTGAGACAGCACATCATTCTCTAGAGGAGATTGCTGTTGCATTCGGTGACAAGGCATTTGCAGATTCTGATGAGGTCATGGAAATGACTGATGCGAAGAGTGAGCAGGTGGAATACTCGGCGTGAGGGATATATGATGTTCTTGGGTGTGGGTTATCTAATATGCCAACTTTTCCTTGAGACTATATAGTGTCCTATAAGATAGTAATCTTGAAAACTGCCCCCATACCGTGTATCATTGAGCACGAAAACGATGTGACTGGTCTCGACTACGACATGGAATTGGTGAATCCGGAGCTCCGATTGAAGATATGGAAGAAGACATTGGAGTTAGCCCTTCTGGGGAGCGCACACTTCAAGGTAGACCATTGTGACTTCAGGGTGCTTGTTGAACTCCGAGAGGATTCAACACACCAATAATCCACGTTGTTTGGGAGAGTTTGATCTCTGTTTAAATTGCTTATTGATATATCCTGGGAAGTTGTATGAAACTCGGGTCTAAAAAAAGGAAAAAGAAAAAAGAGAGGTCGTGCCCGGGATCGAACCGGGATCGGTGGAATCAGAATCCACAGTGATAACCATTACACTACACAACCTGATTTGATGATAGTGTTTACTATAATATGTATTATAAACCATTTACCTATACAAGCAAAAATTGTTCTCTACACCCGTGACACATTATCTTCAAGCTTGCAGAGGCTGTGAATAGCGCTCCGTAAAGTCCACCAATGGGCCTGGACCCCAGGCCATAGCCCGACCGGAACTGAGCTATGGGTGCAACCTTCGAAGTCTAACCCAACCCACAGCCTATTCGTGGGGGCCCATAAGGCCCCCATTGAAGCCCATTGAGGGGGTTCACTCAGGACCTTATAATCGCGGTTTTCTAACCCTTCTGCTAATTGTATAGACTTCAAATCTGTAATGCATATTTGCAATCACGGTGTGGGCTTATATCATGTTTTAAAGTAGAATTTAACTGAAGGAGGTCAAAAAAATATCTAGATATTCTCTATTGTCAAATATATATATTAAACCTTTCGGGGAGCACCACTGTTTTCTTGGTGAACCTCTATAAGTTTTGTACATATTAATTGACAACATGTAAACTATACCAACAA